TGAGATTCTTCAAATAGCCACCATTTGCCTTGATGACAGCTTTGCACACTCTTGGCACTCTCTCAACCAGCTTCACCTGGAATGCTTTTCCAACAGTCTTGAAGGAGTTCCCACATATGCTGAGCACTTGTTGGCTGCTTTTCCTTCACTCTGCGGTCCAACTCATCCAAAACCATCTCAATTGGGTTGAGGTCGGGTGATTGTGGAGGCCAGGTCATCTGATGCAGCACTCCATCACTCTCTTTCTTGGTAAAAATAACCCTTACACAGCCTGGAGGTGTGTTCGGTCATTGTCCTGTTGAAAAACAAATGATAGAACCACTAAGCCCAAACCAGATGGGATGGCGTATCGCTGCAGAATGCTGTGGTAGCCATGCTGGTTAAGTGTGCCTTGAATTGTAAATAAATCACAGACAGTGTCACCAGCAAAGCACCCCCACACCATAACACCTCCTCCTCCATGCTTCATGGTGGGGAATACACATGCAGAGATCATCCGTTCACCCACACCGCATCTCACGAAGCCACAGCGGTTGGATCCAAAAATCTCCAATTTCGACTCCAGACCAAAGGACAAATTTCCACCGGTCTAATGTTCATTGCTCGTGTTTCTTGGCCCAAGCAAGTCTCTTCTTCTTATTGATGTCCTTTAGTAGTGGTTTCTTTGCAGCAATTCAACCATGAAGGCCTGATTTACACAGACTCCTCTGAACAGTTGATGTTGAGATGTGTCTGTTACTTGAACTCTGTGAAGCCTTTATTTCTGAGGCTAGTAACTCTAATTAACTTATCCTCTGCAGCAGAGGTAACTCTGGGTCTTCCATTCCTGTGGCGGTCCTCATGAGAGCCAGTTTCATCATAGCGCTTGATGGTTTTTGTGACTGCACTTGAAGAAACGTTCAAAGTTCTTGAAATGTTCCGTATTGACTGACCTTCATGTCTTAAAGTAATGATAGACTGTTGTTTCTCTTTGCTTATTTGAGCTGTTCTTGACTTAATGTGGACTTAATAATAATATACCCCACCCCTACCTTGTCACAACACAACTGATTGGCTCAAACGTATTAAGAAGGAAAGAAATTCCACAAATTAACTTTTAACAAGGCACACCTGTTAGTTGAAATGCATTCCAGGTGACTACCTCATGAAGCTGGTTGAGAGAATGGCAAGAATGTGCAAAGCTGTCATCAAGGCAAAGGGTGGCTATTTGACGAATCTCAAATAGAAAATATATTTTGATTTGTTTAACACTTTTTTGGTTACTACATGATTCCATATGTGTTATTTCATAGTTTTGATGTCTTCCCTATTATTCTACAATGTAGAAAATAGTATGAATAAAGAAAAACCCTTGAATGAGTAGGTGTGTCCAAACTTTTGACTGGTAGTGTAGGTTGTACTATGGCTTTTTCTATTTATTTTTTTACCCACGCACCGCTACTGCTCATGACGTGACTATGAGACCTGGCTGTATCTAGGGGGATTTTTATTATTTAGCTGATTCTGCTAGCTAGCAAAATGTTGGCTAGCTAGCAATTGCTGTGAAGTCACCAAAATCATTTGAAATAACAATCAAGGTAGCTACAGTATGTATTAAAGTTAACTAATTTAAGTTACAATAAATAAAGGCTAAGTTAGTTGTTTTTCACATTATCAACAACACTAAAAAAGTACTTTGGGGTCAAGGAATTTTCAAAATAAAAGTCCCCCACGTAATTGTAGAAACGTTTCAATAACCTGTATTTATTCATGATATATGAAAAATAATTGTCTCAACATGAACATTGACTCATATTTGTTCATGTTTAATTGACATTTGCATTACATTTGGGTTTTACATGTTCCAAGGTCAAATACAAGCATTTCGCAACACCCGCAATAACATCAGCTAAATATGTGTATGCGACCAATAACATTTTATTTTATTTGATATATTCCCCCAATGCTAATCACTGTATATGGAATACATATTGGCTTAGAGCAAGAACTATTCTGGGTGCAGCAGTAAAAGTATTGTAGGGAATACTCAGTAGGGTCCGTAGAATGTATATATGGTGCCATTTCATGGGGCTCTGAATAATACGGAGTGTTGCTGGCCTTCTACTCCACCCATTCCATTGGCGGCCACAATTCAAATCACTGTATCTGGAATACATGATCATCACATGAGCTTACTGAGCTACAGAAAACCCACTAACCAAACAACACTGCAGGGCATGCTCACTGAATTAAAGGGCAACTACACTCAAAAAGTAGTTTTAAAATTTTTTCCCAGACCTAAAAGTCATCCCGATGTGGTTTAAGCATTGTTGTGAACACAGAAAATCAAATTTAGTTGTTTTTCTATTAAAAAAGTGTGAAAGAATAGGAAAAACTGAACAAATGGGGGAAATCCGAAACCTGGAAAAACAAAACAAAGAAAACAAAATTTTGAAGAAGAAAAACTGAAATAGGCAAACAAATTCACTGATTTTAAAAGGCCCTACCAATAATTTTTTTGCTGTGCATGACTGCACTTTAGAGTGTGTGTCATTTACATTTACGTCATTTAGCAGACGCCCTTATCCAGAGCGACTTACAGTTAGTGCATACATTATTCTTTTAAAAAAAATTTTTTTTCATACTGGCCCCCCGTGGGAATCGAACCCACAACCCTGGCGTTGCAAACGCCATGCTCTACCAACTGAGCTACCTCCCTGCCAGCCATTCCCTCCCCTACCCTGGACGACGCTGGGCCAATTGTGCGCCGCCCCATTGGTCTCCCGGTTGCGGCCGGCTACAGCAGAGCCTGGATACGAACCAGGATCTCTAGTGGCACAGCTAGCACTGCGATGCAGTGCCTTAGACCACTGCGCCACTCGCATTTTGGAGAAGGTTGAGGTCAGGTCCAATATTGACTATGCACCCAAGAGGTAAAGAGGTTGGGCCATCCTAGGTTGGGCCATCCATTTAGAGTAATATAATATATATACAATTTAGCAGACACTTTTAACCAAAACGACTTACAGTCATGCGTGAATACATTTTTACGTATGGGTGGTCCCGGGAATCCCAAGATGCATGACAGGGTTATAAATGCTTTGTGAAGCCTCGGGCTTATGTCATATTTGACATAGTGGGTTATGTCACGTTTGACATTGTTGGTTATGGCACAAAGTTATGCCACATTTATTAACCTTTTATAAAGCATGACATACAGTTATAGATGATTTATAACACATTTATGTAGTGTTTATGAAGGCTTTATGAGCCTTTATAAGCTGCACTTCATTTAAAGCGGGACCCAGTTTTGACTTAAATCTGCTTGAAAATCTATGGCAAGACCTGAAAATGGTTGTCTAGCAATGATCAATAACCAACTTTACAGAGCTTGAAGAATTTGGAAAATAATGGTCAAGTGTTGCAAAATCCAGGTGTGCAAAGCTCTTAGAGACTTACCCAGAAAGACTCACAGCTGTAATCGCTGCCAAAGGCGCTTCTACAAAGTATTGACTCAGGGGTGGGAATAGCTTACTTATGTAAATTAGATATTTCTGTATTTAATTTTCAATACATTTGCACAAAAAAACAAACATGTTTTCACTTTGTCATTATGGTGTATTGTGTGTAAATGGGTGAGATTAAAAAAACGTATATTAATCAATTTTGAATTCTGGCTGTAACACAACAAAATGTGAAATAAGTCAAGGGGTATGAATACTTTCTGAAAGCACTGTAAACCTTGTCTTATATATTTTTTTACAGGTAATATACCACATCTTCTGTCTGAAATGGGTACTAAAGACCTAGTCATGATTCCTGCATTTTCACAGACCCTGCAACCTAAATACAGGTATCGGGTTTGTAAATGGTTCCATTGCTTAAGGCCCAATGCAGCCATTTTTATCTCAACATCAAATCATTTCTGGGTAACACCTTACTGTGATTGTTTTCAAACAAAATGGTCAAAAAGGAAAAAAAGAGCTTCTTAGCAAGAGCAATTTCTCAAGCAATAATTTTTATAAGACTGTCTGGGAGTGGTCTGAGTGGCGAGGGGGAGACTGAAAATTAGCTGTTATTGGCAGAGAGGTTTGGAACTCTGTCTTATTTGGTCTATTAACTAATTTACCACTTGGGGATGTCACCAGGCAGGCCAAAACACCATCTCACCAAAACAGGCTGAAATTTCAGGCGGTATTTTAAAACAGCTCTTACACTAAAAAGGCATTATTATAATTTTCACAATTTCACAGTATTATTACAACCTCAGAGTGGAAATATATATAAAACACAGAAAAATCCAGTTTTTGACTGCACTGGGCCTTTAACACCTTCCTAATTTGAAATGCAAACAGCCCACCTGGTGTTAACAACACCTCCCAATTTGCCAGTTACCCACTGATATGTATAAAAGGGGTATACCTGCAAGAAAGTGTTAAATAAAGGGCTGTTTGGAAGGGGGTTGCCTTATGTTTTAAAAACCGGTAATACCGGTGTCTGAAATGTGTATTTGATCACTTTGAATTTGCCTGCAGTAGCACAGCCACGCCATAGGGCGGCGCTGTAGCATCAGATTGTGTCTTTTACAGCGAGTCTCTTATCTTGGATAGAAAAGCATGAGCTTTCCTTGACTTATCGGTGATATCCATGGCAACTAGAGATAGACAACAAAAACGGGCAGAAGTAGTCAGACAAGAAGTAACAACAATGGAGACGGACGATAAGATAATGGAAAATTAAACGTTAGCTAGCTAGCTAGCTAATTAGCGAACCCAGCAACCAACGGTCAGCTTGAACAGTTGAAGTTAAAAAGTTGAAGTTTAACTTTGTTGTTTCAAATCAACTACGCCAGATATGGCAACTTTTCGATTCACCGTCCAAAGTGCGAAAAAGTTGTGGTTTCTGAAGTGAGCAAGTTACTGTGCCTTTATCTGTAAAACGAAGTGGGTGTCTAGGTGAAACGCCATAGAGGTAGACAGAGTGACTCATTTAGTATCTAACGTTCAGTGACCGGTTTGGTAATGGGAGAAGTGTGTGTGCGGGTTGTGGTTCGGGTCAGACCGCTGCTTCCCAAAGAGGTGCTCCACAACCACCAGCTGTGTGTGCGCGTGGTGCCCGACACCGCCCAGGTGATGCTGGGTAGCGACCGAATCTTTTCTTTTGACCACGCCTTTGGACCGACCGCACAGCACGGTCAGATTTACGAGTCCTGTGTCAAACCTCTGGTGGCATCTCTAGTTGACGGCAACAATGCTACAGTGTTCGCCTATGGACAAACCGGGTCTGGAAAGACATACACTCTTGGTGGGGGACATGTAGGTAAGTTATTGGTCCAGTGCAGCCGTTTTTATCTCAATATAAAATCATTTCTGGGTAACAATTAAGTACCTTACTGTGATTGTTTTAAATTAAAATGGTCAAAAACAATTCTGCTTGACTGTCTGGGAGGCTAAAACTCCATCCCACCAAATAGGCTGAGATTTCAGCTGCTTTTCAAACAGCTCTTACACTAAAAGGGCATTGTCATCATTTTCACAATTTCACAGTATTATTCCAACATCATAGTGTGGAAATATATATATAAAACACAGGAAAATCTATTTTTTGACTGCACTGGGCCTTTAAAAGTGTGAGCTCAAGTGTACTCTTTGACATCATGCCGACACCAAGTGCATTGAGGGATGATGATGTTCTGTTCTGACATGAATCCTTGAATAATCTATCTACTATGATTCTACCCTGAGCTGTCACTTGAGGCAAATGCAGAGAATGTTATGATTATACGATCATTCTCTAGTGAGAGGATAAACACCTTTAACCTGACCCTCCTCTCCAGGCAGTTCTTGCACGCGCAAGTTCAGTTGGTAGGGCATGGCGTTTGCAACGCCAGGGTTGTGGGTTCGATTCCCACGGGGGGCCAGTATGAAAATGTATGCACTCACTAACTGTAAGTCGCTCTGGATAAGAGCATCTGCTAAATGACTAAAATCTAAATGTAATATGATTATATTATCATCAGACAACTCTGCTTTTGTGTTTTCACCAAGGAAGTTGCTCTCCCTCTGTACTTGTACCCTTGATAGCATCTCTGCCGGTGGAGGAGAGTGGGATCATTGGTCGGGTTGCAGCGGATCTGTTTGTGCTCCTGGGGGAGAGGAGGGCTGCGGACGCCAGGGCTGCAGTAGACGTTAGGGTGTCCTACATGGAACTGTACCAGGAGGAGCTCAGGGACCTGCTGGAGCTCCACACTGCACACAAGGAGCTGCACATCAGAGAGGATGACAGGGGCAACACTGGTAACACCACTCACTCTGTCTGTGCTAGGGTGTGTGTGTGATGTGTCGAGTGTGTGTGTTTAACCCCTTATGGTTGATGTCCGCCCCCCCGCGAAAATCAAATTAGCAAATTGACATAATATAAATCTGTCAGTTTAAGCTAGAGATACAGTATCTGTTTTTTTGCATTGGATGTGTCTCAATTCACCGCATCCGCCTTTGTCACACTTCCACATCTCTGGTGAAAGGTGACAGAGCTAGAGCGTCATTTGTCAGACCATGAGACATCCCGAAACTCGGTCTTCTCACAAAATCGTCTGAACGGTTTGGCCTACAAACTATGGAAAGATGAGACTCTCACATTTTTACATTACATTTTAGTCATTTAGCAACGCTCTTATCCAGAGCGACTTACAGGAGCAATTAGGGTTAAGTGCCTTGCTCAAGGGCACATCAACAGATTTTTCACCTAGTCGGCTCTGGGATTAGAACCAGCGACCTTTCGGTTACTGGCACAACGCTCTTAACCACTAAGCTACCTGCCGCCCTCACGAACACGATGGTGTTCTCCGGTTTGCTCTACGACCTCCACAAGTGTCAGGAGACTCGTCTGAAGTCAGTACAACTGATCTGCCAACTTCTGTCTGAACTGTTTGGGCTACACACTAATATGACCCCTCTGTGCAAAGGTGAGACTCTCACGAACATGTTTTGCTCTAGGACGCCCACAGGCCTCACAAGACTCGTCTGAAGGTCCCCCGGTAGCAGTTAAAAAAATGAATGGAAGTACAGTGCATTCGGAAAGTATTCAGACCCCTTTAATTTTCCACATTTTGTTACATTACAGCCTTACAGTTTTTGCTTTGTCATTATGGGGTATTGTGTGTATATTGATGAGGGAAAAAAAACTATTTAATCCATTTTAGAAATTGATTAAATTGTTTTTTTCCCCTCATCAATCTACACATAATACCCCAGAATGACAAAGCAAAAACTGGTTTTTAGAAATTTTGGCAAATGTATTAAAAATAAAAAATGGAAATATCACATAACTATTCAGACCTTTTACTCAGTACTTTGTTGAAGCACCTTTGGCAGCGATTACAGCCTCAAGTCTTCTTGGGTATGACGCTACACACCTGTATTTGGGGAGTTTCTCCCATTCTTCTCTGCAGATCCTCTCAAGCTCTGTCAGGTTGGATGGGGAGAGTCTCTGCACAGCTATTTTCAGGTCTCTCCAGAGATGTTCGATCGGGTTCAAGTCCGGGCTCTGGCTGGGCCACTCATGGACATTCAGAGATTTGTCCTGAAGCCACTCCTGCGTTTTCTTGCCTATGTTCTTAGGGTTGTTGTCCTGTTGTAACGTGAACCTTCGCCCCAGTCTGAGGTCCTGAGCGCTCTGGAGCAGGTTTTCATCAAGGATCTCTCTGTACTTTGCTCCGTTCATCTTTCCCTCGATCCTCACTAGTCTCCCAGTCCCTGCCGCTGAAAAACATCCCCACAGCATGATGCTGCCACCACCATGCTTCACCGTGGGGATGGTTTCAGGTTTCCTCCAGACGTGACGCTTGGCATTCAGGCCAAAGAGTTCAATCTTGGTTTCATCAGACCAGAGAATCTTTTCTCATGGTCTGAGAGTCCTTTAGGTGCCTTTTGGCAAACTCCAAGCGGGCTATCATGTGTATTTTACTGAGGAGTGGCTTCCGTCTGGCCACTCTACCATAAAGGCCAGATTGGTGGAGTGCTGCAGAGATGGTTGTCCTTCTGGAAGGTTCTCCCATTACCACAGAGGAACTCTGGAGCTCTGTCAGAGTGACCATCGGGTTCTTGGTCACCTCCCTGACCAAGGCCCTTCTCCCCGATTGCTCAGTTTGGCCGGGCGGCCAGCTCTAGGAAGAGTCTTGGTGGTTCCAAACTTCTTCAATTTAAGAATGATGGCGGCGACTGTGTTCTTGGGGACCTTCAATGCTGCAGAAATATTTTGGTACACTTCCCCAGATCTGTGCCTCGACACAATCGTGACTCAGAGCTCTACGGACAATTCCTTCGACCTCAAGGCTTAGTTTTTGCTCTGATATGCACTGTCAACTGTGGGATCTTATATAAACAGGTGTGTGCCTTTCCAAAATTTTATTTAATCATGTCCAATCAATTGAATTTACAACCGGTGGAACCCAATCAAGTTGTAGAAACATCTCAAGGATGATCAATGGAAACAGAATGCACCTGATCTCAATTTCGAGTCTCATAGGAAAGGGTCTGAATATTTATGTAAATAAGGTATGTTTTTTATTTGTAATACATTTGAAAACATTTCTAAAAACCTGTTTTCGCTTTGTCATTATGGGGTATTGTGTGTAGATTGTTGAGGACATTTTATTTAATCCATTTTAGAATAATACTTTCCGAATGCACTGTATATATGGAGACTGTTTAATGTCAAAAATATGGGGTTAAATACATGTCAAAAAAACTAACAAATGTTTCCTGATCTTTCTTATATCTCTCAGATATAGGAGAGACACTTCAGAACAAACTTCCTTTTGATATTTTTTTGGGACTATCTGTTGTTCCATGTAATGAATCTGTTATTCAATGCATTTGTATGGGCTAATAGCAGTAAGGCCAAAACATTTTTTTCATCTAATAATTTTTTGGGTAGTTCAAGGGGTCCTTAAATTCTAAATCAAATAGCTAAATGATCCTTGGTATGACCTTCTTAAAACAATTCCATAAAGCTTAGTAGATATATATATAGCTTTAGACAAGGCTTAGACTCTGATGGGTTAAACCAGCTTCATGGAATGCATTTCAATTAACAGGTGTGGCTTGTTAAAAGTTAATTTGTCGAATTTCTTTCCTTAATGCGTTTGAGCCATTCAGTTGTGTTGTGACAAGGTAGGGGTGGTGTACAGAAGATAGCCCTATTTGGTAAAAGACCAAGTCCATATTATGGCAAGAACAGCTCAAATAAGCAAAGAGAAACGACAGTCCATCATTACTTGAAGACATGAAGGTCAGTCAATCCGGAAAATGTCAAGAACTTTGAAAGTTTCTTTAAGTACAGTCGTAAAAACCATCAAGCGCTATGATGAAACTGGCTCTCATGAGGACTGCCACAGGAAAGGAAGACCCAGAGTTATCTCTGCTGCAGAGGATAAGTTCATTAGATTTAACTGCACCTCAGATTGCAGCCCAAATATATGCTTCACAGAATTCAAGTAACAGACACATCTCAACATCAACTGTTCAGAGGAGACTGCGTAAATCAGGCCTTCATGGTCGAATTGCTGCAAAGAAACCACTACTAAAGGACACCAATAAGAAGAAGAGACTTTCTTGGGCCAAGAAACACAAGCAATGGACATTAGATCGGTGGAAATATGTCCTTTGGTCTGATGAGTCCAAATGTGAGATTTTTGGTTCCAACCGCCGTGTCTTTGTGAGACGCAGAGTAGGTGAACGGATGATCTCCGCATTTGTGGTTCCCACCGTGAAGCATGGAGGAGGAGGTGTGATGGTGTGTGGGTGCTTTGCTGTTGACACTGTTGGTGATTTATTTAGAATTCAAGGCACACTTAAACAGCATGGCTACCACAGCATTCTGCAGCGATACGCCATCCCATCTGGTTTGCGCTTAGTGGGACTATCATTTGTTTTTCAACAGCACAATGACCAAACACATCTCCAGGCTGTGTAAGGGCTATTTGACCAAGAAGCAGAGTGATGGAGTGCTGCATCAGATGCCCTGGCCTCCACAATCACCCGACCTCAACCCAATTGAGATGGTTTGGGATGAGTTGGACCGCAGAGTGAAGAAAAAGCAGCCAACAAGTGCTCAGCATATGTGGGAACTCCTTCAAGACCGTTGGAAAAGCATTCCAGGTGAAGCTGGTTGGGAGAGTGCCAAGAGTGTGCAAAGCTGTCATCAAGTCAAAGGGTGGCTACTTTGAAGAATCTCAAATATGAAATATATTTAGATTTGTTTAGCACTTTCTTAGTTACTACATGATTCCATATGTGTTATTTCATAGTTTTGATGTCTTCACTATTTTTCTACAATGTAGAAAATAGTAAAAATAAAGAAAAACCCTTGAAAGAGTAGGTGTGTCCAAGCTTTCGACTGGTGCTGTCATGCTGTATGGAATCTGACTGTAGTGTGTGGGTGTGTTTCAGTGGTAGTTGGGGCCAGAGAGGCTGTGATTACCTCAGCTGAGGAGTTGCTGAGCGTCCTTGAGGCTGGCAATGCCATGAGGCACACTGGCCACACTCAGATGAACGAGCGCTCCAGCCGCTCTCACGCCATCGTTACCCTACAGCTGATGCAGCATCACCATGACAATGGCTCCGTCCGCTCCTCTAAACTCCACTTGGTGGATCTGTCCGGGTCAGAGCGGGCTGCACGCACCGGGAACACAGGCCTGCGCCTCAAAGAGTCCGTCCACATCAACACCGGCCTGCTGGCGCTGGGCAACGTCATCCGCGCACTCTCCAACCCCCATCGCCGCCGCAACCATGTGCCATACCGCGACGCCAAGATCACGCGCATCCTCCGGGACTCACTGGGTGGCTCCGCCCACACACTGATGGTGGCCTGCGTCAGCCCTTCTCACCACAGTGTCACAGAGACACTGAGTGTGCTGCAGTTTGCCTCACGGGCACGCCACGTGAAGAACCAGCCTGGGTTGTGTCCTGCCAGGGCGTGTCCGGGCTGGCACCCTGAAGAGGCTCGTGTGGGGGAGCTGGAGCAGGAGGTCCAGACTCTGAGAGACGCACTGAGAGAGAAGGATAAGACAGGGGGAGGGATTGCTTTGACTGACAGCACCAAACAGGCCACTCAGGAGGAGCGTGATGACAGGGGGATGGACCTAGTGGAGGAGTCCCAGTACCGCTGCCTTGCACAGGACGCTGCCTTCCTATTGGAGGAGCTCCAGAGTTCCACCCAGAGTCCTGTTCTGCAGCAGCGTTTGCAGGAATGGCTGGAGAGACACAGGGAGCTTAGCCACTCCGGCCACACTGACTATCAACAACCTGTGGGGGATGCAGGGGATGAGCCTCACCAGATCACCATCCTCCAGCTCAGACGTGAGCTCAAGAACTGCCAGGTAGTGTATGTAGTGGGCTCAGTTTCTCAGCTTTGTTTGCTCAATATGATCTGTTTACAAACATATTCTAAACATAGGTATGAATTGTAATTCTCCCCCCCCCCCCCCCCAAAAAAAACTATATTTTACTCACTCTCTCTCCCACTCTCCATCAGGATACTCTGGCTATAGACAAGCAGGTGTTTGACCAGAGGGCATCTGAGCTGCAGCAGGTGCAGAGGCAGGTGCAGACACTGCTACAGGAGAAAGAGACACACCTCCAGTCCTTACAGGAGGAGAGGGAGCACAGACGCATACAGGTAAAGAGAGAGACAGGATAGCGAGAAATTGAGAAACAGTATATGCAATGTTTGAATGGGGCATTTCTACATTGATGATGACTGATGTTTTTTTCCGTTGGTTGGGTAGATGGTGGAGCAGCAGCTAATAATAGATCGTCTCCGTGGTGATCTCCTGACCTCCAGGATGAGAGCCTCGCTGGACACTGGAGCTTCTAGGAAGTCAGCAAGGAGACCTCACAGTGTTCCCCTGATCAGCCAGGGCCAAGGCAATGGTGGTACGAGGAAGGTACGTGTCCAGAGCAACTGTGTGTGTGTGTGTGTGTGTGTGTGTGTGTGTGTGTGTGTGTGTGTGTGTGTGTGTGTGTGTGTGTGTGTGTGTGCAACAATGGAGTTTATTTTTCTGTGTCTCTTATGTAGATCCATACTAGTCCTCCGGCCTGTTCATTGGAGAGGGTAATGGCTGCCTTTAAGACCCGCAGTCAGCTGCTGCTGGCTCAGATAGAGGAGAGAGACGAGGTCCTCTGCCCTCAAAAAACACAGAAGGAAAGGAGGGAAGATGAGGAGGAGCTGGGGGGGAGAAGGGTATTCAGGTGAGCAAGACTGTAATACTGTAACATCCTGCTTCAGAGCTATGTAATTGTTCTGCTTGCTCAGAACAGACTAGTTCTTTAATCAGATGGATATATAGTACCAGTCAAAAGTTTGGACACACCTACTCATTCAAGGGTTTTTCTTTATTTTTACTATTTTCTACATTGTAGAATAATAGGGAAGACATCAAAACTATAAAATAACAAAAAAGTGTTAAACAAATCTAAATATATTTGAGATTTGAGATTCTTCAAAGTAGCCACCCTTTGCCTTGATGACAGCTTTGCACACTCTTGGCATTCTCTCAACCAGCTTCACCTGGAATGCTTTTCCAACCGTCTTGAAGGACTTCCCACATATGCTAAGCACTTGTTGGCTGCTTTTCCTTCACTCTGCAGTCCAACTCGTCCCAAACCATCTCAATTGGGTTGAGGTCGGGTGATTGTGGAGCCCAGGTCATCTGATTCAGCACTCCATCACTCTCCTTCTTGGTAAAATAGCCCTTACACAGCCTGGAGGTGTGTTGGGTCATTGTCCTATTGAAAAACAAATGACAGTCCCACTAAGCGCAAACCAGATGGGATGGCGTATTGCTGCAGAATGCTGTGGTAGCCATACTGGTTAAGTGTGCCTTGAATTGTAAATACATCACAGACAGTGTCACCAGCAAAGCACCACCACACCATCACACCTCCTCCTCCATGCTTCACGGTGGGAACCACACATGTGGAGATCATCCGTTCACCTACTCTGCGTCTCACAAAGACACGGCGGTTGGAACCAAAAATAAGAATAATAAGAAGAGACTCATCAGACCAAAGGACATATTTCCACCGATCTAATGTCCATTGCTCGTGTTTCTTGGCCCAAGCAAGTCTCTTCTTCTTATTGGTGTCCTTTAGTAGTGGTTTCTTTGCAGCAATTCGACCATGAAGGCCTGATTCACACAGTCTCCTCTGAACAGTTGATGTTGAGATGTGTCTGTTACTTGAACTCTGTGAAGCATTTATTTGGGCTGCAATTTTTGAGGCTGGTAACTCTAATTAACTTGTCCTCTGCAGCAGAGGTAACTCTGGGTCTTCCATCCCTGTGGCGGTCCTCATGAGAGCCAGTTTCATCATAGCACTTGATGGTTTTTGCGACTGCACTTGAAGAAACTTTCCAAGTTCTTGAAATCTTCCGGATTGACTGACCTTCATGTCTTAAAGTAATGATGGACTGTTGTTTCTCTTTGCTTATTTGAGCTGTTCTTGCCATAATATGGACTTGGTCTTTTACCAAATAGGGCTATCTTCTGTATACCACCCCTACCTTGTCACAACACAACTGATTGGCTCAAGCGCATGAATAAGGAAATAAATTCTACAAATTAACTTTTAACAAGGCACACCTGTTAATTGAAATGCATTCCAGGTGACTACCTCATGAAGCTGGTTGAGAGAATGCGATGAGTGTGCAAAACTGTCATCAAGGCAAAGGGTGGCTGCTTTGAAGAATCTCAAATATAAAATGTTTTATTTGTTTAACACTTTTTTGGTTACTACATGATTCCATATGTGTTGTTTCATAGTTTTGATTTCTTCAGTATTATTCTACAATGTAGAAAATAGTAAAAAAGAATGACAAACCCTTGAATGAGTAGGTGTGTCCAAACTTTTGACTGGTACTGTATTGCAGGCGCTCTATGAACCACACATGGACAATCAGACAGATTCCAGCCTGCTTTGGCCAGAACCAGGCACAACATACTAGTTTGGACCAGATTCAGGACGGGCTCCAGTTACTTCACCCGTCAGAACGCCCTACAGGTAAATACAGTTTATATTACACTATATGAGTCTTAGGGGGAATATTACCTGTATTTTCTGTTTCATTGCCAAGACCGGCCTGTGCCTTCTATATGGTGCAAGGAGCGCAGAGTGAGGCGGAGGCAGACGGTGAACCTGCAGCGCTTAAAGACGGCGGAGACACAGAGCAGGGCTAGCCTGCAGACCAGTGGCTCCAGGAATCTGCACAGGACCAAGGTCAGTGCTAACAATACAGCATTCAGAGAACATTCATAGAGCATTTATACAGACCTCATAGAGCATTTATACAGCATTCATAGAGCATTTATAGTGCATTTATACAGCACTCGTATAGCATTCATAGAGCACTTAGAGTATTCATTTAGCATTCATAAACGCTCTCATAGAGCATTCATAGAGCATTCCTACAGCACTCATATAGCACTCAGAGTATTCATATAGCATTCATAAAGCTCTCAGCGCATTCAGAGAGCATTTATACGGCACTCAGAGTCATAAAGCATTTATTAAGCACTAATAGAGTATTGAAGGAGCATTAATACAGAACTCCTGTTGACCTTCACGACTGTCAGTCCTTGCATCCATATAGCTCCATCAGTGGATGTGGTTACATTTCTCCAGTCCCATCCTTCAGCATCATAGCAAACCAAGTGGTGGGGCTGCCATTTATTAAGATCTAAGGCCTTTCATTAAAGTAATCTAAGGCCTTTCATTAAAGAGAATTCATCCTGTGAACAGCATGCTAAAGGGTTTGATGCTGCTGTGTTGCAGGACCTGAGGACAGACAACAAGGCTGTCTTTCAAAAAGGAGACTGCAAAGACTCAGAGGAAAAGGTAGAATGACGTTCCAGAATTAAAAGTGTGCCCACATTACATCTGTAAAGGATCACAGGTTTGGGGTGCCCCTCCCTGCAGGATGAGTTTGTTATGGCAAAAAAGTATATTTCAATGTTCACCATGCAGTCATGGTGATTCCTTAGATCTCATTTGGATATTCAACATAGTTGAAAATAGGCAAACTGTGTGTGTTTTGAAGTGTTGATGTGTTCGTTTTGCCACTGTATGATGCCCAGCTGTCTGAGAGACGTGCGTGGCTGGAGCAAGAGGAGGAGCGTGCTCTGCAGAGGAGAAGGGGCCTGCAAGAGCTGGAGGAGGAGCTGAGGCGCAGAGAAGAGGTGCTGCAGCACCGAGAGGCCTGTGTCCAGGAGAGGAACCAGCTGCAGATCAAGAGGCTTCGCTCCAGCCAGGTAAACACAGAGTGGGGCTCTATGGAAGAAAAAAAAGAAGAACCGTATATTTATTTTTTGTGTGTGTAATTTACGGCATTCCAATGTTATTATCTGCAATTGAAAGTGATTGTGCGTACGTTCACGTGTGTTCCTCAGGCTCTGAGTCAGGACTTGCTGCGAGTGTCGGCTCGTCTGGGAGATCTGGATCAGGAGCTTGAGGAGAGAGGAGGGGTAGAGAGGCGACGGTCCTCCTCTGCAGCGGGGCTGTGTGGAGCGTCCATGGAGGAGCTGCTGAAGGAGAGAGAGAGCCTGTGTCAGAGGAGGGACACGCTGGACACACAGCTGAGGGACGGCAGGGTGCTCACGCAAGAGGTGAGCACCTTAACATTCACTATTTTCCTTCAGCCTGGATGTCACTCTGACTACAGAGGGCTGATGTGGAAATACATGGTGTGTGTGTTCTTGTGTGTGTGTTCTTGTGTGTGTGTGTATAGGAGGAGCATGCTCTGCTGCAGTTGGAGGAGGCCTTGGAGGCGCTGGATGCTGCAGTAGAGTTTAAGAACCGTTCCATCCAGGAGAGACAGAGAGACCTCAGGGACACTTCTAACTCCGCCCACGGAGACGACGACAATGATGTCATGAGGGCGCTGAGAGAGCTGTCACTTCCAGAGGCCTCGGCACTGTTGGTGAAATACTTCAACAAGGTCAGAGTCCCAACACACACACACACTCACCACAAACTACTTTGAGCAACCAAACTACCGTAATTCAGTTATTTTCGATGAAGGAGGCGACATGAGGAGAATTATTTGACCATTGGCGAGCGATACGACCAGAGTTGTGCAAAGTGAAACTCTATGCAAATCATCATCAGAGATTTGGCTGCGTGATAACCAATCTGGGGAGGGAGGCTCTTACTAGTCTAGCCAGCTTTGACACTATGCTTGATGGTGAACATGATATTTTGCATGCTGTTTGGAATAAACACCCACAATGGGCGAACTAGGTGATGCCTACAACAAAGTAGTATCTCTAGACGACGGTACACTCTGCATTAGAACCCTCATTTGAGGAAAGGCTGGGGGGCTGGGATTGAGATTAGGGGGTCGAAAATAAAAGAGGCAGACATAAAAGAGATGGTTCACCGCACTCCTAACCTTCCATTACCCTCCTGCTAAACTGCCAGTTGAACCAATAACTGAGCAGATAGTTGAAAGCGTTCCCTTGGCCCCTCCAGGTGCTGTGTCTGCGGGAGTCGGAGCGGCAGCTGCAGCTGCGCTGTGAGGAGCTGCAGCTGCAGAGTGGAGAGCAGGAGGCGGCGACCAGGGAGTTGGAGGCAGCTCTACATCGCCTCACTCTGGACACAGACCGCCGGCTCACTGAGCAGCATCAAGAGCACCAACACAGCATACAGCTACTAATGCAGCAGGTCCGAGGTCAGTGTGTGTGTGTGTGTGTATGCATCAAGTGTGTGGTATTCCTGCCCCTTCATGATGTTTCTGTCTGTTTTACAGTGTTCTCACTGCTCATTTTGTGTGTGTGTAGAGGGTGGCTTAGGGGACAGTGATCAGGCGGTCCAGGCTAGGCTGCAGCAGCTGGAGAGAGACCTGTTCTTCTATAAGAGCTCCAGCCGTGAGCTGAAGAGGAAGCTCAGAGAGCTGGTCACAGACTCCCTCCCCCCCCAGGCTCCAGACCTGCAGGGCAGTAAGGAGGCCAGTGACGGAGCAGGGGACAGCCCCAGCCTGCAGACTCCCAGAGTGGAGCTGGCCCCTGTCCGTCTGTCCTGTAGAGAGCTGAGGCAGAGCTCACCCTCTGACTTCTGCAGCACTAGGGGGCACTCTGCCTTGAAGGCCAGCAGAGGCTCATTCCAGGAGGACTCCATCGAAGTGCCCAGAAACACTGACTGACCACGAGGCTCGAGCACATACTGACCACTTCTTTCCTCCGTCCACACTAATCTAGAAGAACAGGTTAGGTGAAACTAAGGGCTCTATTCAATCAGATCCGCTTTAGCCAACATCCGCATAGTGGTTGTTTTGGCAGAGGTGGAACTGTGTTAGAGCTGTCAAATCCACAAGTGGCTCAGGACATTCTACCTAAAGCTGGACATTAACATTAGCTGCATGGAATCACATTAAGTCATCCCATGCAGTCAAGTTCAAACACTGGAATATGAGATGTAATCTACACTTCGATTAGGATGATAGAAATCCTCATGATTTAGTTTAATGATTTTTCAATTTGAGCGTAATTACAATGTATATACAAAAGTATGTGGACACCCCTTCAAATTAGTGGATTCGGCTATTTCAGCAACACCGGTTGCTGACAGGTGTATAAAATCAGTAGAATGGCCTTACTGAAGAGCTCAGTAACTTTCAACATTGCACCGTCATGGGATGCCACCTTTCCAACAAGTCAGTTCGTCAAATTTCTGCCCTGCTAGAGCTGAAGTGGAAACGTCTAGGAGCAACAATGGCTCAGCCACGAAGTGGTAGGCCACACAAGCTCACAGAACGGGACCACCGAGTGCTGAAGCGCGTAAAAATAATCTGTCCTCGGTTGCAACACTAACTACCCAGTTCCAAACTGTTTCTGGAAGCAACGTCGGCACAAGAACTGTTCGTCGGGATATTCATGAAATGTGTTTCCATTACTGAGCAGCCGCACACAAGCCTAAGATCACCATGCGCAATGCCAACCGTCGGCTGTAGTGGTGTAAAGCTCGCCACCATTGGACTCTGGAGCAGTGGAAACACGTTCTCTGGAGTGATGAATCATGCTTCACCATCTGGCAGTCCGACGGACAAATCTGGGTTTGGCGGATGCCAGGAGAACAGTGCATAGTGCCAACTGGAGTAATGGTGTGGGGCTGTTTTTCACGTTTCGGGCTAGGCCCCCTTAGTTCCAGTGAAGGGAAATCTTAACGCTACAGCATACAATGACATTCTAGACGATTCTGTGCTTCCAACTTTGTGGCAATAGTCTGGGGAAGGCCCTTTCCTGTTTCAGCATGACAATGCCCCGTGCACAAAGCGAGGTCCATACAGAAATGTTTTGTCGAGATCCCATCTAACACCTTTGGGGTGAATTGGAACGCCGACTGCGAGCCAGGCCAAATCGCCCAACATCAGTGCCCGACCTCACTAATGCTCGTGGCTGAATGGAAGAAAGTCCCTGCAGCAAGTCCCTGTTATAGCAGCAAAGGGGGGACCAACTCCATATTAATGGCCTTGATTCTGGAATGAGATGTTCGACGGGCAGGTGTCCACATACTTTTGGTCATGTAGTGTATTTATATATAGCCTACTCTTTCTCATTTTGACCTTCTAACCGAGTTGGGCTGGTGTGGCTTCATGACAATGATCACAAGAGCAGCTGCTCACCGATTTGACGGCTCCAACGCAGTTACACCTCTGACGCCACCAAAACATCTGCTATGCGGGTGTCTGCTATCACCCGTTAAATGTTTGATCTGATTGAATCTAGGCCCAAGTCAAATAGGACTCCTATTTGTTGTTCTCACTCATGCAGTGTGATTGAGATCAATATGGATGAAGGAGAGGCGGCAAGGAATGGAAGCCACCAACTGTGAAACTATTGAGACACACGTAGACTGATCCCAAGCACAGAGTGAAAGCCCTGTGCACTTTGCAACACTTAAAGCAGACTGAATAGCACTTCAAACTTCACTCATCGGTTACTCAGAGATCAGATGAGCACACAGCTAAATGATATCACAATCATGTGTATTATAAATGAGTTGTTTAAATGTTCCTTTTTTAACTTTTAAAGATGATTTAAAATCATTCGTTTTTTTGCCTTTGTTTAAAGTGTGTTTTATACAGTAGTGTGTTTGCGGCGTTCTAGACCCTCAGACCACTAACACTAATCAAGCCATTGGTCATTCATGCAATACAATGTACCTTCCCCTGCTTCCGTAGGTGTGGTTTGGTTATTTTAGTGTTGCACAACTGTTGACATCAAATTAATTGGATCAAACCTCTTAATTTGCAGTAGTTCAATAATTGGCCGTAAATTTTTTTGCAGACTACTGGTTAATGCAAGTGCAATCTGCAATGGTCATTGTTGCATGGTTTAATGGTCATTTCAACAATTGATATACCCATTGATTCTTGAATAATAGAACTTACAGTATAACTAATACATGCCTCTAATATCATAAAGCCAAAAATGTTAGTCTGATGCCTGGTAGCCTGGCTGACACACAAGTCTAGTCATCCACCACCACCCCTGAAATGTTTTTGTTGCAAAACAAAAACGTTAAAATTCTAAATGTCATTCATGCTTGTGTAATGTAGTGCTCATGATATGAGATGAGGAAATAAATCTAAGTTAGAAAGGCAATTGGAAAAATAAGAATCATTACATGACATTTTTTTACAAATACATATACCATTTAATATCTATATTTAGAATTGGATTGTTTTCAATTTAGTTTTACTGACTTCAAAGTAACAAGTATATAACCTTTACATACAAAAGCAGAAACTTCATAAATAAATAAATATGTTAACTAATAAATAGATGTTACAAGATAATACAATTGTTAGGTTTTCTTATTCTGGTGTAACATACAGCAGTTTGCATTCACAGAGAACCATCAATGCTCAATGCAATAGGTGTCAACACATTCATGAAACAACACTGGTAGAACTGAAGTGATGTTCTACCTCGGCAATAGAAAACAGGAATGGTGGTTCAAGAAATATATTACATTTACAATTAGCATTAATTTAAGGGAATGAAAGCACACACATATTCCCCCACAAAAATCTTAACTAGCTAGGCTCCTTCAAGATATAGTAACACACCCCTAATCCTTCATCTGTTTCCTAGATCCACCCGTTTTAGATGGATTCCTAGGGCCAAAATTCATATCCATATCCGTCTTGATCTTGCTGGCCAGGGATCTAAGCATCCCCCAACCTTAAATTGGCAACCATGATTGGCAATTGTCACAGAGCACAATAGCTTGGCTATCTAATAAGATATTCCCCATTCACCATTATGTTCCAACTTTTAAAGCAAAACTGAATACGTAATTATTTGGAATCCTATTTCCACTCTCTGCAAATACAGACATTTGTGGCCAACCACTTCTCCAAAACAAAAACAAAAAACATTAAGAATTTGATTAAAAGAACAGAAGAACATGAAATGCCAAAAGACAATACGAGGTACTGAGAAAGCAACACAATTGACATAATATAGAGTGGCTCACTGGAGTATATCAATAATTGAAAAAAGAAATAAGACCACTTAAATAGTCAACTCTGGGATTCTTTTGTATCCATTTCTGCTCAGACAACTATAAGTCACATGTATGATCATATACGTATGTATCATAAATATATGTTTTGAAGGTTTAAAATTGCCTCGGTTTAGTTCACCTTAAAAGTACAAGTCATACACAACAATATACAGAGACATAATATAGAATAGACAAACAAGGCAGAGTGAGAAATAATCAAAACTTTGCCCATTACTAAATTACTGACATGGTTTCAACTGATTCATGACTCATACCAGTTATATGTACCCATTGATTTTAGATTCTTAGTTCAACAGTTGTACCCATCAGAACCCAAAATATAAGCTTGTTTTACTCCAATGTTTGTAAACAAATTAAATGTAAGCAAACACTATATAGCATCAAAACAGGGTTCAAACTATAATTTTGATATCATGGATGGATCCATAGCTCTGTCTATATTTCTCCAGCCCCATCCCTCAGCTTTTTACCGAAACAGGGGCGGGGAAATTGCTTTGTTATTGTTTCTACTGCTGATTGCAGCTTTAAGCAACCCAATTAATGATGTTCCTTGATTTCAGTTGAAAGAAATTCTAAAATATATTGTGATATAACACCTACCTTCCAAACTACATGCAGTAACAACTTACTTGGGACAAGGTTACTTGCGAGGTAGTCTACTTATTCAACACAGTGGAAAATGTAAGCTAATCTAATTTGCTCCCTAATGCTGTCCTTTGGCACATCTGGTAGGTACCCTACCTGTCACCTAATTTAAACTACTGCTCCAGACGGAGTCTGTTAATGAGTTTAAACTCTAACATTATGGACATTTCGCTTGACCAGGTTAAGCCTACTCCTGTACTGAATTGCACTTTAATAAAGATTCATGGTAACTATCACATCTTAAAATATTCCAGGACTAATTGTTCATCTTATTTTGAAAAAAATTAAATAGTTAACTGATATTCAGTTTTTGAGTAACTACGGCAGAAAAAATAATCTATATTCATTTGATCTGGGTCTGTGAAACCAGCCTTGTGTACGTATATTCTAACCCCACTTCAACCAAGACAGGTCTGTCTACAAGGCATACCACATACACATCCTATGATGACTAAATATATGTCACAGTTAACAATAAAAAATAAATCAAACTGTTTCACTGACAGAATAACTGGAGGTAAAAGTCACCATTCCTTTGGTGTTCCATGACATAACCTGAAATGACAGAGTAATGGTATAACATGATATGGCATACCCTGGCTGGTATTACATAAATAAGGAGAAGGTAGTGAACAGTGGAGCACATCTCAGTCATGTTCATTAAGGCACGCAATTTTAAACGTTTTAAAACCTTTTGTGACAGTTTCTTATAGGACTAGTCTAAGTAGTGCCTCCCTATGTCTGTTTTATTCCATTTGGTGCCTAATGATCTGAACCCTGATCTCTCTGTTCTGTTGCAGCTGTTCAAACTGACCATAGAGAATGATAGAGGCCTCTAGTAGCCAAAAGGCTGTATTAGCATGTGCAGCGCAGGGTCATCAGGAGGGATCAGCCAATCGTGAAAATGTACTACTTCAAAATGGAGATGCCTCAATGGCACTGCCCATGCTGTCACATACGCTATAATGGCACAGATACAAAGATGAGTCCTCTATCTATCTCTATGTTTGAGAAAGACTGATGGGAAACAGGAAGAGGAAGAATGAAGAGAAGTGGACGGCTCCTGGAGATCACTTGTTCTCAATGAGCGTCTGCACCTTGCACACCAGTTCCCGGGCCAGTGTCAGGATCTGCTTGCTGTTGTGATGCTCAGCCATTTCTGAAAGGAGAAGAGAGAAGATTTAATTCCCGCTGGACCACTTCCAACATCGATACACAAGGCAATAACACCATTTTTATTTTGTGTATGCGTGTTATTCATTGAACCATTCATTTGCTCAGCACAGGTACCCATTCAACATTATTATTACCCTTTCAACTATTGACAGTGGGACATGAACAAAAAAACACCTTTAGATTTCTCTAGGCAATTAAAGCAATGGCATGCTCCACATTGAAAATTAATCTGTAATCTACAGCTTGTGCCCTAGTCGAGTGTTTCATATAAACTGCTGCAAGGTGGTAGACAGTTTACCATAAAAAAGGTATAGTACTGTACACAAATGTACATTTACATTTTAGTCATTTAGCAGACGCTCTTATCCAGAGCGACTTACAGTTAGTGAGTGCATACATTTTTCATACTTTTTTTCATACTTTTTTCATACTTGAGATCAGAATTTTAACGCCCACAGTGTTAAATGTAACATTTTCTTAGAAATTACATGTGACCCATAGGGGTGTAATGGTTCACCAAACCCACGGTTCGGAAGGTAGTGCGGTTTTGGGGTCACGGTTCAATTGGGGTTTTGGTACAGCGGGAAAATGTAATGCCATTCACAATGTTCAGCATTCACAATGTTCATGGCATTGTCTGTTGTGACAGGATTGTTATGTTGGGCCTCTCAAGTTTCCACTCTGATGCTGCATTTGTAACCATGTGGGAGGTGGGAATTTACAAGTTGTGAATTCGTAAATACCAGTTGGATGCATTTATGTGATTTGAACTAGTTGAGAAACACCGATTGGCTAATGCCCAACAAGCTGCGTCAACCATAAACTAAAAGTACAGCTATCATGATCGTAAACAAATTATAGTTTAAAAAAACACATGAATGGATTGCTTTTTACAAAATGTTTTGTTGTTGCATTTAATAATAATAATAATAATAATAATAATAAGCCATTTAGCAGACGCTTTTATCCAAAGTATGCCGTGCATACATTTTTGTGTATGAGTGGTCCCGGGAATCGAACCCACTACCCTGACGTTATAAGCGCCGTGCTCTACCAGCTGAGCTACAGAGGACGTAACTGCCGATAATGCTGTTATAGAGGCCATTTCCTTAGTAGGTGACGTCAGAGGTTACCATGTGGGAGCTCAGGATGATAGACGAGTTTTCTCACTAGTAATTATCAAATCAAAATTGTATTGGCCACATGCGCCGAATACAACAGGTGCAGACATTACAGTGAAATGCTTACTTACAGCCCTTAACCAACAGTGCATTTATTTTTAACTAAAAAGTAAAAATAAAACAACAACAAAAAAAGTGTTGAGAAAAAAAAGAGCAGAAGTAAAATAAAATAACAGTAGGGAGGCTATATATACAGGGGGGTACCGGTGCAGAGTCAATGTGCGGGGGCACCGGCTAGTTGAGGTAGTTGAAGTAATATGTACATGTGGGCAGAGTTAAAGTGACTATGCATAAATAATTAACAGAGTAGCAGCAGCGTAAAAGGATGGGGTGGGGGGGTAGCCATGATTAGCTGTTCAGGAGTCTTATGGCTTGGGGGTAGAAGCTGTTGAGAAGTCTTTTGGACCTAGACTTGGCACTCCGGTACCGCTTGCCGTGCGGTAGCAGAGAGAACAGTCTATGACTAGGGTGGCTGGAGTCTTTGACAATTTTGAGGGCTTTCCTCTGACACCGCCTGGTATAGAGGTCCTGGATGGCAGGAAGCTTGGCCCCAGTGATGTACCATTTAGAGGCCGGTCAACTATTCTTTTGAGGAATTCCCACTTCCATCTTGGTTACGAAAGCACTATGACACTGCCTCCTTCAGTGCCAGATGCGCACTTGAGACTCATAAAGGGGACGTGTCTGTAGCACGGTACATTTCCCACTCTGGGGTAAAGTGATGGGCTGTCACCAGTGTTGCCATGGTCGCAGTTTTCCGGCCAAATTGGGCTACTTTGAAAACGATGTCGCGCATGCATTGTTTTTTGGTTGCGGGTTTTTGGCCTATTTCTAAGTTGCACCGCGGCCGCCATGGCATTTCTCCTTAAAAATATATATTTCCATTTCACCTGCTGTTGACTGTCAGGGAGTGAGGCATGCTGTTGCTGAGTGAGTGAGTTGTGGGGAGGGCCGTGTGTATGTGTGTTGAGAGAGCACTACAGCTATTGGCTGAGTCACTTGAGCGAGAGGAGAGGGAGCAGCACGCGCGCACTTAGTAGACACTAAGCAGTGTAAAACGACTTTGGGCGCACATGATCGGAGGTGGTTTAAACGGCATTCTAATGTTGACTTTGCTTAAAGAAAAATGGTATCAAGCTATGTGTTTTATGCATTCTCAGTTCTTGAGTCTCGGGGCCTGCCTGAATGGAAATTTGAAATTGAAGTTTTGGAACTGCCTCACGTGGTTCTTTTTAAAAATGTGGAAAAGTCCTCAATGAAACTGACATTAAAATGTGGAGAATGATACATTTGTATCTGTTGGCCATCAAGTATCCTATTCATTTATATGCTATTGTAGCCTACCATTTGATACAATAAATATGTTAAAATGACTATCACTGGAATATATATTGCAAATATATTTGTTTCACTTGTGTAGCCTACCTGGAGCTGGCAAACCAATTTAATAGCCTATAACTTCAGTTTATTGTTTTGTAGCATTATGTTATTATGCTATTATTAATAGTCATGTTTAGTTAATTAAATTGGAAGTTATCAAAGTGGAAAGGTCTAGGAGCAACAACGGCTCACTCGCGAAGTGGTAGGCCACACAAGCTCACGGAACGGGATCACCGTGTGCTGAAGTGCGTAAAAATCTGGAGCAGTGGAAACGCGTTCTCTGGAGTGATGAATCACCATCTGGCAGTCCAACGGACTAATCTGGGTTTGCGGATGCCAGGAGAACGCTACCTGCCCGAATGCATAGTGCCAACTGTAAAGTTTGGTGGAGGAGGAATAATGGTGTGGAGCTGATTTTCATGGTTCGGGATAGGCCCCTTAGTTCCAGTGAAGGGAAATCTTAACGCTACAGCATACATTTTATTTTATTTTATTTATTTCACCTTTATTTAACCAGGTAGGCCAGTTGAGAACAAGTTCTCAAGTTCTCATACAATGACATTCTAGACGATTCTGTGCTTCCAACTTTGTGGCAACAGTTTGGGGAAGGCCCTTTGCTGTTTCAGCATGACAATGCCCCCACGCACAAAGTGAGGTCCATACAGAAATGGTTTGTCGAGATCGGTGTGGAAGAACATGACTGGCCTGCACAGAGCCCTGACCTCAACCCCATCGTACACCTTTGGGATGAATTGGAACGCAGACTGCGAACCAGGCCAAATCGCCCAACATCAGTGCCCACCCTCACTAATGCTCGTGGCTGAATGGAAGCAAGTCCCCGCAGCAATGTTACAACATCTAGTGGAAAGCCTTCCCAGAAGAGTGGAGGCTGTTATAGCAGCAAAGGGAGGGACCAACTCCATATTAATGCCCATGATTTTGGAATGAGATGTTCGACGAGCAGGTGTCCACATACTTTTGGTCATGTAGTGTTTGTTGACTATGAAGTGACAATGATAGTTAGAAGTCATGATTTGAAGGTTTGGCTTGGAAATATTTTTTTGCCTGGTCACAGATAGCTAATTTGTTGTGCACTTAAGTGCACAAGCGAAGGGAAAAGGTAAACGAAATGGGGATAAACATAGCTGAATTTGTCCAATAGAAACTCTCATTTGCAACTGTTGGATTAATGATTACATCCTAGATCAGCTAGATGCAGGAAAGCGTGTGCAAGGCGGTATTGAATGTGTCACTGTCACCTTGATTACTCAATTCTCTCGACCTGTGCACCTACGTTGTAAACTTTCATTCATAGGCTAGGTTGTAGCAACCTTATGATGGGTACAGGGACATTTCGAGTATCATGTAGTAGCCTAAACCTATCACTGTTACATTGAGCTGTGTGAATGGAATATGAATGAGTCATCCAATATGCTGTAATAGAAATAAGGCCACGCATCATTTAAACGGCACCGACCACCACTGGTCTGTAGTCTATGCCTTTTGAAATGACAAGTCAATCTCGCAAATGGGCCATTTATAATGGTTTGTGGTCTTAACATCTGGCACATAGTTTTTTTTTATCTTCGTCCAAGCCTCTGTCCAACTTTCATAACTCAAAACTCTCCTGTTGGATTTATTATAGTTCTGCACATTCGCAAACCTTGTTCGAGCCTTGAATGCTGAAAGCCGTGGTATATCAGACCATATACCACGGGTATGACAAAAAAATACTAATTACGTTGGTAACCAGTTTATAATAGCAATAAGGCTTCCCGGGGGTTTGTGGTATATGGCCAATATACCACGGCTAACAGCTGTATCCAGGCACTACGTGTTGCGTCATGCTTAAGAACAGCCCTTAGCCGTGGTATATTTAAGTGATAATGCCAGAGAAGCCGGTGTTTGGATATATTGGCACGGGTGTTGTTAGGCTTGAGACAAAGTCAAGGGCCGGCAAACCGTGCCAATATATCCTCCAAACACCAGCTTCTCTGGCATTATCACTTTTATACAATGAGTTATCAACATATTCAAATAATAATTTACATATTTTCATAAAAAACATTATTTTGATGAATTTACTCATACTATTTCACCCTTCCATGAGCTACAGTTCCAACACAAATCTAAAGGTTGCTACCCAAAGCCGGGTGGTCGTTTGTTCTATTGGTTCGGTTGCCCGATACGCGACCCAGTTAAGTATTTTTGTTCTGCATCTATGGTTCGTTCTAAATGTTCCATTGCCATACTGGCTGGCAACGTTCCTATCCCTTGCTTGCTAGCTAGCCAACTACAGCTAACTTGCAGTCACATCAAACAGTGCAGCCAGAATAACAGCAAAGTAGCTGCATTTGCGTTTGTTTAAGCTGACAATTATTTGGATACATCCATAACAATGAGCTAATGATGCACGATTTCACCTGGCATGGAAAATGTCCTCTCTCATCAGGACACTGTTGTTCAGAGGAGCTAGCCAACAACACATCTAACACAATCACTTCAAACTGAAGCTGGACAGACTGCAAACTAGCTGCATTTCGTTTAGTTTTACCTGTTTTCTATTAACATTCCTTTGTATATATCCATAAAAATTATGCCAGCTGATTCATGATTTCGACTGGCTGAGAAAAGCTGTCTGTCTCGTCCCGACAGCTGGAGATCGAATTTCAATATTGAAACAATGTTGCAAATGTCGGAGAGACAGACAGCAAGATTTATACAAATCTCCGCTGTTGAAAACCAAATGTTAGTCTAAAATAAATGGGAGATAATGTCTAGATGCTTTTTACAGTGGAGATCAAGTTTACAAATTGCCTGGCTGGGCTGATGAGACAGTGGATTGCGCAGTGAGATGGAACAGAGTAAATAGGCATTTCAACATCATAGTTTTAGCTGGTGATGACTTGTTGAATAGACACCGACTGGAATGGGGTTTTAACCAATCAGCATCCAGGATTATGGCAACTCCTCTCTTATGGAAAAAAAATTGGGCTCGTTTTCAGGCCTTTTGGGTGGGTTTTGAGTGGTCATCGGGCTATACATTTGTTTGACCTGGCAACCATGGCTGTCATTGTTAAGTAAGCACAATACAGGGTGCATTGGCCAATTCATTGAAAACTTCAGCTTTGGTTTGCATATATAGAGCGGGTACACCCGTTTGCTGAAATGAGTACAAGAGGGAAATTCGTAACTTTGCTCGAGCACTTTCACGAGGTGCTGAAACCCCCTATTCTCAACCACCGAGAATGGGCGCATATCCGCAGATATAAACCAAAGACTGTAAAAAAATATAAACATAGCCTACCTATCGCGCTTGTAATTTCTTTGGCCCTGTCAGCTGCCAAGGGCTGCTTGAATGCAGAGGGGAGGCGATGTTGTGTTGTTTCTTCGCGTTTCTGTCTTGTTCTGGTATACTGGGAATATGTCGGTGTAAATGTGTAAACCATATTTGAGGTATTGGCAGCTGCATAGGTTATTCTCGTTGAGCGTGGCGACATACTGTTAACGTTTTATCCACAACTCTCTCGCCGTTGTAATCTACTGGGAAGCCAACATTTTCCCAAACTGGAGATTTAAAATGATGATGGACGATGCTCCAATTCTGGTTTATTGACCCCATCATTCGCAATCGTACAGAACTAGTTCCCGGCTGCGCCTCACAAAAGGACAGTTTGAAATGGCCAATTTAAGATTTGAATTTTGATTACAATGCGCGCATAGGCTGTGGTTGTTTTAATGGAATAGCTCAGATTTACTCAAGAGACAGGCAAATATTTTTTTTATAACTAACCCAAGATAGATTCAAATGGGAGCAAATTAATCATAGTGGGCAGAACAAACAAGAAGATGGGCAGAGCCAAGCATGAGTTAGTGAGATCATATTTCCGTTAGGGAACGCCTACTCTGTGAAGTGCACTTGTGCAATAACAGAATTCGCCCTTGCACTCCTAAACAACGCAATTTTTTACAGAGTCTAGTTTTGGAAACAGAAAACTGTATGGAGATGAAATATTTCATCATGAGAAAATTAACAGAAGTTCGGCCCAAATCCATCTGGCTCCTTCTCCCACTGCCGGCCACTAGGCTTCCTCTCATCACCATATTTGGTAGTGAGTGGAAACGCCAACTGGATACTTCACATTTATAATATGTATCTGCTAAATGACTAAAATGTAAATGTAAATGTACAGTACATCCAGTGAAATGTCTGGCTCATTGTTCCATTCGTGGCATAGGCCAACAACGCAGCATAGGCATGCATAGCCTATAGGCCTAGTGTTTTTATTTTGAATTATATATTTTTTAATGTACTCATTCTGGTTCACAGTGCGGACCGAACCGAAGACCCCGTACTGAATGGGAATACGTGTAGGCCTACCTTTACACCCCTAGTGACCCACTGAAATAGTGTTAAACTAACACTTTTCAAAGTGTTCACAAACGAACACTTGTGTTGGTCCCTAAAACCATGGGTGTTGTAAATTCCGATTTAAATTAACACTTTAATAGATGCCATTACACGTTTTTTTGTTTTAGGTAAAATGTAGTGTTACAGTATATTGGGGGGTTGCTTTAACATTGTAGGTTGTAAAGCCTTATTTGCATATTTCCCAGCATGCCTTTCAAGTGAATGTGAGAGATATCCACCTATGACTGTGTTTGTTAGTGACAGAGGCATGGTTGTTGCATTCAATAACTAGTCCTGAAGCCTTAACCAAGTGACTGCCTAAGTGAATGTGTTTGAATAAAAAAGTAAACCCTTTATGACCATATATTATACATTTCATAAGGCCTTTAGTTATGGCCTAGTTATCCCCAACATTGTGGTCTGAAAATCTTGGCCCATGGGGCCACATTAGACCTGCAAGTCACAATAAACTGGTTTGTGAAGTGATTAGTAATTCCTATTGGAATCCAGCCAGAGGGAGGATATCCAACAATTTGAATATTTTATCACCCACAACCTGCACTCAGAATGACTGCTATGGTGAAGGACTTGATAAACAAGACTACCTAAACCACCTAAACTGGAACACCCATTTCAGTAACAGGTGCAATAATAATAATAATAAGCCATTTAGCAGACGCTTTTATCCAAAGCGACTTACAGTCATGCGTGCATACATTTTTGTGTATGGGTGGTCCCGGGGATCGAACCCACTACCTTGGCGTTACAAGCGCCGTGCTCTACCAGCTGAGCTACAGAGGACCACCAAATCCAACCCCTTACAGATTGGATTGGTTTAGAAAAATGTAAGTTATTTATCTTTGTATAGTATAAGAGCAATTCATCAATCAATGAGCATGCAGAAACATAGATATTAAAACAAACTATAAAAAAAAAAAAATACCTGCAACAAAGCATTCTGGGAAGAATGATAATGAGGCCCTGCCCACGTCTTTTTCACTCATAGATTTAACGGAAATGAATTTAACACAGTTGAGTAACAACAACATGCAGTGTTGATTGCACTGTGATTCAAATAACACCTCATTTATTCACCGCATGTGGTGTCAATTTCAGTCCTACTGGTGTTAACCCCACTAGAGTCAACACTCGGGTATAACACTCAAAACACTTTTTACCTTAACACAGAGATTTAACACTTGCACATTTGCTGTGTATGCACATACTTATCGTATGTCCAAGTGCAGGGGAAAAAATCAGTGTAAATACATATTTTGAGAGCTTGGGACTATAAAGTTATATCTACATTTATTTAATTTTTTTGTTAGCGTCACACTGTGTAGAGATCACTGTGGCAGCAAGCTCAATTTAAGTTAGATTTTCTTAACCACCTGCGTTGCGGGTGAAGGGTAACTTTTAAACTAGCGCAACTGTATGAAGAAAGACTCCAGACCTCTAATGCTCCACAAACAATTGAATGAATGTTGATTCATTGTTAGAAAGTGTACCGTTGAAAAACTTAATGATGTCGGTGAAGTCCATGTTGTTCTCCAGAATGATGTCCCGGTAGACCTCAACCAGTGCCAGCGCGATGAAGAGGACAAAGTGGCCAGAGGAGGCGTACTTCGCTGCCCAGATGGTTTCCCACACCGCAAACACATCGTCATACACCAGCTCTGAGAAAGAAAAAGGTACAGGGGATGCAGAAGTCAGGTGTGGTTGGGGTATGGCATATTAACATGGAATAAGTCATGGCAAAATGTGAAGAATTTCAGCTAATTAGCTTTGAAACTGAAAAATTGACTAAACCCCATGGCAAAACGTGTAGAATTGCAGAAAACTAACTGTCTCTCTGCAGTCAAAAGGGGGGCAACTAAAGTGTTTTGCCCGCGAGGTGGGGGGGCCCGCCACCAAATCTTGCTTAGGACCCCCAAAAGGCTAGGGCCGGCCCTGAATCAGTTACCCAACCAAGGCAGGGCCCTTTAGTTACCCATGTTGGCCTGTTTTTCCTGAGTGATCTTACTGCCTGCCATATCCTTCATATGGAAACGGCTCATTAGAACTAGGTCTTGTTAGCCTTCTTCTTTGCTGTTTGACATTTAGTTGACGGTATGAAAACACTCTCCCCTAAGTTTAATTGGTATTTGCTACGGTATAAAATCCCCTAACAGCAGGATGTCATTACCACGCTTTAAGTCTAGGAGGAACCATCGGTAGCAGAAGTAGAAGTGGGTGTAGTCGCCATTCTGGTGCATTAGCTCAAATAGCTCAGAATCCAGGATCTACAGAGGGGTAGGCAGGAGTAGGAGGAGAGAGGGCACACAGACAGTTGAAGGAAGAGAGATGGGTTTGGTTGAGTAGAGGAAAAGGGTCGGGGAAGAGAGGAGGGAGAGGTTAGTGGAGAACATAAAGTTGGATGTGTTATATTCACTGTATCCTACTTTTCATGACAACAACTGGATGCATGCCAATATATACACAACATGACAAAAGGTATGTGGACACCTGCTCGTCGAACATTCTAAAATCATGGGCATTAATATGGAGTTGGTCCCCCCTTTGCTGCTGCAACAGCCTACATTCTTCTGGGAAAGCTTTCCACTAGATGTTGTACCATTGCTGCTGGGACTTGCTTCCATTCAGCCACAAGAGCTTTAGTGAGGTCGGGCACTGATGTTGGGCGATTTGGCCTGGTTCACAGTCGGCGTTCCAATTCATCCCAAAGGGAGGTCCGGGCTCTGTGCAGGCCAGTCAAGTTCTTCCACACAGATCTCGACAAACCATTTCTGTATGGACCTCGCCTTGTGCATGGGGGCATTGTCATGCTGAAACCGGAAAGGGCCTTCCCCAAACTGTTGCCACAAAGTTGGAAGTACAGATACGTCTAGAATGTCATTGTATGCTCTAGCCCAAACCACAATAACAGCACTTACAGTTCACCGGGGCAACTCTAGCAGGGCAGACATTTTACAAACTGACTTGTTGGAAAGGTGGCATCCTATGACGGTGCCACGTTGAAAGTCACTGAGCTCTTCAGTAAGGCCATTCTATTGCCAATGTTTGTCTATGGAGATTACATGGCTGTGTGCTCGATTTTATACACCTGTCAGCAACGGGTGTGGCTGAAATAGCCAAATCCACTAATTTGAAGGTGTGTCCACATACTTTTGTACCGTGTATTCAGAAAGTATTCAGACCCCTTCCCTTTTTCCACATTGTTACGTTACAGCCTTATTCTAAAATGGATTGAATAAACTTTTTGCCTCATCAATTTACTCACAATACCCCATAATAACAAAGAAAACAGGTTTTTAGATATTTTTGCAATTGTATTAAAAATAAAAAACAGAAATACCTAAGTATTCAGACCCTTTGCTATCAGACTCGAAATTGAGCTCAGGTGCATCTTGTTTCCATTGATCATCCTTGAGATGTTTCTACAACTTGATTGGAGTCCACCTGTGGTCAATTCAATTGATTGGACATGATTTGGAAAGGCACACACCAGTCTAGATAAGGCCTCACAGTTGACAGTGCATGTCAGAGCAAAAACCAGGCCATGAGGTTAAAGGAATTGTCCGTAGAGCTCCGAGACAGGATTGTGTCGAAGCACAGATCTGGGGAAAGGTACCTTTTTTTTCAGCATTGAAGGTCCCCAAGAACACAGTGGCCTCCATCATTCTTAAATGGAAGAAGTTTGGAACCACCAAGACTCTTCCTAGAGCTGTCCACCCGGCCCAACTGAGCAATCGGGGGAGAAGGGCCTTGGTCAGGGAGGTGACCAAGAACCCGATGGTCACTCTGGCAGAGCTCCAGAGTTCCTCTGTGGAGATGGGAGAACCTTACAGAAGGACAACCATCTCTGCAGCACTCCACCAAATCAGACCTTTATGGTAGAGTGGCCAGACTGAAGCCACTCCTCAGTAAAAGGCACATGACAGCCTGCTTGGAATTTGCCAAAATGCACCTAAAGGACTCTCAGACCATGAGAAACATGATTCTCTGGTCTGATGAAACCAAGATTGAACTCTTTGGCCTGAATGCCAAGCGTCACGTCTGGAGGAAACCTTACACCATCCCTACGGTGAAGCATGGTGGTGGCAGCATCATGCTGTGGGGATGTTTATCAGTGGCAGGGACTGGGAGACTAGTCAGGATCGAGGGAAAGATGAACGGGGCAAAGTACAGAGAGATCCTTGATGAAAACCTACTTCAGAGCTCTCAGGACCTCAGACTGGGGCGAAGGTTCACCTTCCAACAGGACAACGACCCTAAGCACACAGCCAAGACAACACAGGAGTGGCTTCGGGACAAGTCTCTTAATGTCCTTGAGTGGACCAGCCAGAGCCCAGACATCCCTGGAGAGACCTGAAAATAGATGTGCAGCAACGCTCCCCATCCAACCTGACAGAGCTTGAGAGGATCTGCAGAGAAGAATGGGAGAAACTCCCCAAATACAGGTGTGCCAAGCTTGTAGCGTCATACCCAAGAAGACTCAAGGCTGTAATCACTGCCAAAGGTGCTTCAACAAAGTACTGAGTAAAGGGTCAATACTTATGTAAATAAGGTATTTCTGTTGAATTGTTTTTAGAAATTAGCAAAGATTTCTAAAAACCTGTTTTTGCTTCATCATTATGGGGTATTGTGTGTAGATTGAGGGGAAAAAACGATTTAATCAATTTTAGAATAAGGCTGTAACGTAACAAAATATGGAAAAAGTAAAGGGATCTGAATACTTTCCGAAGGCACTGTATATATGTATATATAGAAGTTAAAGTGCCTCTGTGGCCTCACCTGGATGAGAGAGCGCATGTTGGAAAAGTGAGTGTCCATGGCCCCGCCGTGGGGGAAGTTCTGATTCATCCGCTTCATGAGCTCAGTGAAACAGCTGAAGGCCAAGGCCTCTGAGAGTGAGTGAGTGTGAGAGAGCGTGAGAGAGAGAGAAAAAAAGACCGACAGGGAGAGATGAGGAAAGACCGGGAGAGAGATTGATGAAAGACAGATAAATGTTGAGCGGCCCGCTTCATCGCCATTTCTGTTGTCCTCCCTGAAGCACAACAATATCCCTGTCCTGTTTCATAAGATTATATTCATTGTACTCCTCCTTTACATTCCAATACTGCCGTATGATATAGTGATAATCTATGATGAGTCTCATTGACAGACTGTCATTTGACTAAGCTTATGTAGAATCTTAATTTGACCTTTTGCCACAGCAAAATAATCCTGTAGTAATGGGATTTTAACGTTTAGTCCATTACGTTGGTTGATCGGTGGTTAGGCTATTACCTGGCCTAAAGTAGGCTACATGAAGTGCAATACCGTTAATATAAACGTGTGTTAGTGTGGGTTTTCAGTGAATTTATGTAAATCACGAAGCTCATCAGCATTTCCTGCAGTGCAGGAAAATTCTCAGCAACAAAAGAGTGATGAAATGAAGATCCTACATCTGTATATGTGTGTTAAACAAAGGACTGATCAAATCAAATTTCAGAAGGTAAAGTAATCTTGAAGGTTGACACATTTTGCTGCCATCGCAGAATCCATATCATAACTACCAAGGAGGAGAGTGACGGGGGAACACACACAGTCACAGCCTTGACTCAACAGCGTTAACTCACCATCATCCAGAATGACAAGGAGGGGAGCCAGCAGGTCACACATGCCCTGCACATAGCCAATCTCCAGGTGCTGCCAGATATAGCTGAGAAGAGAAGTCAGCATCATGTGTAACTCGTTTATTCTTCCTATTTTCCATTTGACATTGAGCTCCACACAACATAATGAGTCAAGATTATTTCCAAACCTTTCTGCAAAAGAGCACTAGAGAAACATGAATGACTGTTTTTATTTTACCTGCACATGATGTTGCGCAGTTTCTCCAGGTTGGCAGGGGTAAAGTACCAGTAGTTTCTGTCACATCGCTGGACATCCTTCTCAATGCGGTGCAGGTTCATCGTGTACATGTCTAAAAGCTCCTGCTGCAACAAAAGGCGCAACACCCCCCCACACACAAATGTTAAAGCATAACTTACTCGGAACTGTAAAACCAAAAACCTAAATAAATCTTGATTATTCGGGAAGAATATATTCCGAAAATAAAATGCCAAGTGCCTACAGAATAGGTGGTTCCGATGGATGACACTGGAGAGATGGCCTCGTTTTTCAGCTCTCTGCCCACGGCCAGGGAGTCAAATTGTGGGAAAATGCTCTCCATCTCAGGCTCCTCAGACAAGTTGGACTCTGTGCCCTCTGGGCTGGGCTTGCACTGTTCCTCCTCCTCCTCCAGTCGGAGCTCCAGATGGGGGACTGAGCCCTCAGAGAGAGCAGCCCCGACCCCGGAACGGTCGCACGGACCCTTCCTGTCCCACAGTGGGGCCATGGAGACTTTTGCCAAGGAGATCTCCTCCATCTCAATGGCTGAAGGAGACTCGTCAGATTCTGTGGTGGCCAGAGCCTCCTCACTCTGGGTGGTGCAACCAAATGCTTCCATTGCCCTTGCCAACCTGGTCTCTGCTACGGGGCTTGTATTCTTCTCGGTCTCTGGGAGCTCGGCCTCAGATGGTATGATCTCCTCCTCCTCTCTTTTTCCCACTTCCTTAGATTTTGTAATGTCCTCCACTTTTGCCTCTGCAACTTCTTTGTGTGACACCGTCTTAACCACCTTTGTTTCGGCTACCTCAGATTTTAAAGTCTGATTGGCTCCTACTTCTTTCTCAGTTTCTGTCTTTTCCATAGTATTTTCTTCGGCTTCCTTTACTTCCGATGTTTCAGCACTCTTTGTTTCTCCAGCCTCTGAAGTTCGCTCATCCTCCAGTTCTGATGTCTTGTCCTCCATTGCTTCTGCAGTCACCGTTGATATCAATGACTTCTCCTCTTTTGGCTCTCTATGGTTTGTTTCATTCTCTTCTGGATCTACAGATTCTGGTTCTGATCCTTCGTCCTCTGTTTCTCTTGACTCTCGAGTTTTCAATGTTTCCAGTGACTGCATCTCCTCTGTGTCTGCTAGCATGGCTGGCTCTCCATCCAACATTTTCACCACTTCTGTCTCAGGCTCTTTAGCATCCATTGTTTTGAACTCATCTGTTTCGGACTCCACTGTTTCTTCTACAGCATCCACTTCTGCTTTCGGTAACTCAATGTCCTCCCTTTCAGAGGTCCTTACCTCTTCTGTCTCGGCAGTTTCAGTCACGGAAGTATTTTCTTCCTCTATTTTCTGGCTCTCTAACACACCTGCGTCTGTTGCCTTGTCCCCCCTTGTCACTGTCTTTTTGTCTATTTCTATATCTGGCACTTCTGTCTCGTTGCCCTCAGTCTCTTGGGTCACTTCGGTCGCACTCTCTTCCTTCTCTTTTTCCTCCTTCTCTGGTGGGTCCATGGCCTGGAGGTCCCTCTCCTCCTGCAGGGCCTGGGGTTGGATGTTTGGGCTATCTGCCTCCAACTCTTCCTCATGGGCTATGACTGGGCTCTGTGGGGCTGGGGCCAACTGTGGAGGAGTGCTGGTGGTGTTTTTAGGGGTGGTGTCAGGTGCAGTGCTGTCCTCTGTGCTCAGAGAGCGTTCTGACAGGCCTGAGGTGACTGAGAAGTTGCGAGAGGAGGGGTGCCCCGAGTCTGGGGAGCTGGTCCCGTTGGGCAGGGCTCCTCCATTGGGGATCTTGGGCACCTGCTTGGCCTCTTCGCTCTTGGGCTCGGTCTCAATCTGATCCACCTCCTCCACGGACTCAAACACCTAAAAGAACAAGCCAAAGGGAAGCAGGCTAGTCTAGGCGAAGGAATGGGAGGATGTGAACTGAAGAACTAGCAGGAGAGAGAGTGTGGGGTTGAGGAACTTTGGTTCAAAAAAGCTAAAAGATCACTTTACACATATAACAATATAACTGTAAAAGACTAGAGCAGCGTTTCCCAAACTCTTCTTAAAGATTGGGTTGGTGGATTGCATCCAACTTAAGGTGCATACACCGCCACCTACTGTACTGGAGTGTGAGGCCAGTCACAGCCTACCTTATTAAATTCTTCATTAGTCCTGTTGCTCTAAGAAAGTGAAATAGAGCCCTAGACACACTGTCTGTGATTTATTTAGAATTCAAGGCACACTTAACCAGCATGGCTACCACAGCATTCTGCAGCGATACGCCACCCCATCTGGTTTGGGCTTAGTGGGACTATAATTTGTTTTTCAACAGGACAATGACCCAACACACCTCCAGGCTGTGTAAGGGCTATTTAACCAAGAAAGTGAGTGATGGAGTGCTGCATCAGATGACCTGGCCTCCACAATCCCCCGACCTCAACCAAATTGAGATGGCTTGGGCTCAGTCGGACCGCAGAGTGAAGGAAAAGCAGCCAACAAGTGCTCAGCTTATGTGGGAACTCCTTCAAGACTGTTGGAAAAGCATTCCAGGTGAAGCTGGTTGAGAGAATGCCAAGAGTGTGCAAAGCTGTCATCAAAGCAAAGGGTGGCTATTTGAAGAATCTCAAATATATAAAATATAATTTGAATTGTTTAACACATTTTTGGTTACTACATGTGTGTTATTTCATAGTTTTGATGTCTTCCCTATTATTCTACAATGTAGAAAATAGTAAAAATTAAAGAAAAACCCTTGAATAAGTAGGTGTTCTAAAACTTTTGACCGGTAGTGTGTAATATATATCTTCACACCCCATCTCACGTCCTCACCCAATTCTCTCCTACCCTCAATCATATCCACAGCTACACTTGGTTTCAGAAACAACCACGGAGGAACATTCCCCAATGCAATTGCCAGCCCCATCTCGCTCTACCCTAGTCCATATTCTACCACCTTCTGGCCAATTGTCCACCCGTACGCCTTCTGCTTACCCACTCCTCGCTCCCAACATTCCCCATTTGCCATGACCGCAGGATGTCCTTCTGAACTCCCTTTCAACCTCGCCCAGTATGCTAATGCAAGTTTGTCCCGCTTTATCCTCACTGGCACTTCCCCACTATCCACCTACAATACCTCAACAGGTGTCGTCCTGAAGGCACCCATACACAATCTCAGGCCGTTGACTGTATCCTATCCAGATGCTGTAGTACCGTTTTGGTTGCCGATCCATATACAAAGCACCCATAATCCAAAGATGACCTGATCAATGCCTGATACATACACAAGTGTTTGTCTATCCAACCCCCAATCATATCCTTCCACTGCCCTCATGAGGTTCAGCACCTTCCTACACTTAATTTCAATATACTCAACATGTCTCTTCCACGTAAGCCTCTCATCAAACCACATACCTAAATATTTAAACTCAGACACCCTACCTATATCCTGAACGTATATTTGCAGCCTAACATCTTTTGACCTTCCTCCTAGAAAACACCATAAAGCAGGACTTGGTCACAGACATCCTAAATCCCCATGTTAGAGACCAATCTTCCACAACTCCCACAGCTTCTTGCTTCTTCCTCATCACATTTCACATTCCTACCTCTCTTCCATACAGCCCCATCATCAGCATTCAAGGCCACACCCACTCCCTGTCCCACCTTTTAAAATATATAATCTATCATCAGGGTGAACGACACCGGACTAACCACACTTCCCTGAGGAGTACCATTGTCCACTTCAAACCACATTGACAATTCTGACCCCACCCTCAACCGTATGACCCGATCGAACAGGAAGTCCATGATCCAGTTATACAGACGTCCCCCAATGCACTCAACTTGATCAACAACCCATCCCTCCACATGGTATCGTAAGCTTGCTCAATGTCAAAATACACAACACTCATCACCTCTTTTATTGACAGGGCCTTGGCTATCTCTGTACTAATGGTCACCAGAGCATCCATGGCAGACCTCCCTCTCCTGAACCCACTCTGTGCTACGCTCAACAAACCCCTAACTTCCAAGCAATACATCATCCTACTCACTATAATATTTTCCATTAACGTACACATATTGGATGTCAACACGATAGGCCTATAACTGCCCACCCTCGCAAGATCTTTACCTGGTTTTACAAACGGCAACACCACCACACGTTTCCACCCAGCACCTTATTATACAACCTTACACTGCTTCCAACACACTGTTCGGTGCATGCTTAAACATCACGTAACACACCCTATCTTCTCCAGGAGCAGTCCGCCCGCATCCCACCAACACCCTTGTCATCTCATACATAGAAAACTCTGCATCCATAGCTTCTCCTGACTCCCCTTTTTCCTTTAAACATCTCCATTCTCCTTTAACCTTTCCCTACGTCTCCTCTTACTCTCACCTGCAAATGCACCACCTAGGACATTAGCCTTTTCTTTCCTTTTCTTGTTGGTGACATTTGTTTCTACCAACACTGGAATTCCAGCATATTTACCCTTCCCCATAATGTTTTTAAACATTTTCCAAAACGCACCATTCCCAAACTCTGTGCACATTTTGGTTTTTGCCCTAACACTACACAGCTGATTCACTACACAGCTGATCAAAGCTTGATGATTAGTTAATTATTTGAATGTAGTGCTAGGGCAAAAACCAAAACATGCATCCCTTGGGGTCCTGAGGACTGAGTTTGGGAAACCCTGGACTAGAGTAATTCAATAGGTTTGAAACAATAGGAATATTATAATTCTAATATGAAAGGTGTTTTTGGTATGAATTACAAAAATGGAACGATTGTATTTTATAAAAAATGCAACGTATCGTGTGTCATGGAACGATTTCTAGCTTTTGGAGGCACTCTTAGAATTTGACCTTGAAGCCATAATCCAACATATTTCCATTAAAATAGTGATTGCTAGACCATAATCGTTGTACACCATCATGGGTAAGCTCAGGACATCGTTCTACAGTTCACTTTTCAGTACTGTGGGACTAAGCAGCTTTTGTGTATGGGTCATTCTACAGAAGTGGTGCAAATAGGGGGTTGGACAAAAATTGAAATGTGTATCCTATTTTTCATAAGTCTTCCAACATTGAGTATATATTAGTCACACACTTTGTTTGTATTGCATATATGAAATATTTACCCGAATTCCTTATCACCCCACTACATTTATCACTACCGAAACATAGTAAAACAGTTGCAATAAAGGGAGAACAGTAGTGATTCTTTTTTATTACAGATACATTTTATAAAATGTTATTTGCATACCAAATTAACAAAAAAGTAATAACATGATTTAACTAGATTTTTTAAATTGAATTTAGAGAAATATAATATCCATTGTTCTCTGTTGACTGTATGAATCTGAAACTTGTTAATTGATTGAATTACTTACGCATCTAATTAATGATGTTGTTACAGTGAGGGAAAAAAGTATTTGATCCCCTGCTGATTTTGTACGTTTGCCCACTGACAAAGAAATGATCAGTTTAATTTTAATGGTAGGTTTATTTGAACAGTGAGAGACAGAATAACAACAACAAAATCCAGAAAAACGTATGTCAAAAATGTTATACATTGATTTGCATTTTAATGAGGGAAATAAGTATTTTACCCCCTCTCAATCAGAAAGATTTCTGGCTCCCAGGTGTCTTTTATACAGGTAACGAGCTGAGATTAGGAGCACACTCTTAAAGGGAGTGCTCCTAATCTCAGCTTGTTACCTGTATAAAAGACACCTGTCCACAGAAGCAATCAATCAGATTCCAAACTCTCCACCATGGCCAAGACGAAAGAGCTCTCCAAGGATGTCAGGGACAAGATTGTAGACCTACACAAGGCTGGAATGGGCTACAAGACCATCGCCAAGCAGCTTGGTGAGAAGGTGACAACAGTTGGTGCAATTACTCGCAAATGGAAGAAACACAAAATAACTGTCAATCTCCCTCGGCCTGGGGCTCCATGCAAGATCTCACCTCGTGGAGTTGCAATGATCATGAGAACGGTGAGGAATCAGCCCAGAACTACACGGGAGGATCTTGTCAATGATCTCAAGGCAGCTGGGACCATAGTCACCAAGAAAACAATTGGTAACACACCACGCCGCGAAGGACTGAAATCCTGCAGCGCCCGCAAGGTCCCCCTGCTCAAGAAAGCACATATACATGCCCGTCTGAAGTTTGCCAATGAACATCTGAATGATTCAGAGGAGAACTGGGTGAAAGTGTTGTGATCAGATGAGACCAAAATCGAGCTCTTTGGCATCAACTCAACTCGCCGTGTTTGGAGGAGGAGGAATGCTGCCTATGACCCCAAGAACACCATCCCCACGTCAAACATGGAGGTGGAAACATTATGCTTTGGGGGTGTTTTTCTGCTAAGGGGACAGGACAACTTCACCGCATCAAAGGGATGATGGACGGGGCCATGTACCGTCAAATCTTGGGTGAGAACCTCCTTCCCTCAGCCAGGGCATTGAAAATGGGTCGTGGATGGGTATTCCAGCATGACAATGACCCAAAACACACGGCCAAGGCAACAAAGGAGTGGCTCAAGAAGCAGCACATTAAGGTCCTGGAGTGGCCTAGCCAGTCTCCAGACCTTAATCCCATAGAAAATCTGTGGAGGGAGCTGAAGGTTTGAGTTGGCAAACGTCAGCCTCGAAACCTTAATGACTTGGAGAATATCTGCAAAGAGGAGTGGGACAAAATCCCTCCTGAGATGTGTGCAAACCTGGTGGCCAACTACAAGAAACGTCTGACCTCTGATTGCCAACAAGGGTTTTGCCACCAAGTACTAAGTAATGTTTTGCAGAGGGGTCAAATACTTATTTCCCTCATTAAAATGCAAATCCATTTATAACATTTTTGACATGCGTTTTTCTGGATTTTTTTGTTGTTATTCTGTCTCACACTGTTCAAATAAACCTACCATAAAAATGATAGACTGATAATTTCTTTGTCAGTGGGCAAACGTACAAAATCAGCATGGGATCAAATACTTTTTTCCCCTCACTGTAGACATTTAAATTATTACTTTAGCAATCTTTATTTTGGCAGCATAACAGGCATTTTGGTGTCAAGTGTAAATCATAGAGATAAATGGAGGACTCTAGATGGATATAACTCCTTTTAGTATAGACATTGCAATTGAGGGCTTCCACCATTTAAAAGTAGACCAATGGGTGGGGATTCCTATGGGTTGGGAGTGATCAGCCAATGATCAGAGAGCATTGTCTTCTTCAGATTGGGTTGCCTATGGTTTGTAAACCAAAGACTAAGGTAATATCCAGGCTAAGACCAAGATTTATACCAGGACATTGGTCCCAAGATCCAGACCCAGTGAGTTGAGACAAATGACAAATTAAAGACTGAATTTATTTATGTTATGTCTCAAGACCATGAAATCAAGAGTCCATGGGCCCTTTCTTCAATTGTAAGAAACTCAAGTAGAGTAAACTTGAGTACAGTATAGAACAGTACGGTAGAGCACATTATAGACGTCTAGGTTTTGGCCAAATAGATGTCAATGTTTGGGCTCTTGGAGGGTTGAAGCCCCCCTGCTGGCTATGCATTTCAATACTCTATACCTTTTCCTGAAGACGTGCACTTGTCCACTACCCACATGGTGGTCCTCTGTAGCTCAGTTGGTAGAGCATGGCGCATGCAACTTTAAAATGGAGATAGCCTCTATGGCGCTGCCCGTGCCGTCACAGACGCCATAATGGCACAGATACAAAGATGAGACCTCTATATCGCTATGGTTTCAATTGTTTCGGTTGTGACCATTTCAGTTTGGACAATTTTGACTTATTTTGTATTTTAAAGAATCTCCATAGTTAACATATGGCTGGCTATCTTTCATTTGGATGGATGTACATCCCAGCAAACATATTTTAGTCACAAATCCGTACTTCTTATATTTCTTGATACATTAGATGTTCAGTAGTGACACGTCGTAAAAATACATGAAGATTTACCAACTTGCTTACTCATTTTCTCCAAAATGATTGCAGACAGACTATTGGCCATGCTGGAGAGGGGTGCAATCCCATCACCTGGTGATACCTGTAGGGGTGTGGCTTAAGGCACATTTATTTTAAAGTTTTAATGTGGTGACATCAAAAGGTGGGACAGACTTTTTTGAGAAAGCTGTTTAAAAATAAACAAAATGACTAATTAGATCCGTATATTTCAATGTAATAATATAACTCGAATCATTAATTGCTTTATTTTCAAACATGAAGTTTAGGAGTCAGGGTTTGGGACAACTACCTCTCAATAGATATAGGTGTGTAAACAATGCCTTTGTACTATATTAATTTAACAATATGTTTATTATTGCCTTGGATTGAATTAGAACATATCATGATGTAAATAAATGTCCTAAGTTTTTGGGGATGGGACTGTAATTTGCAAAACTTCTGTAGAATCACCTGTATACAGGCAAGTGTGTATTCAGCCCTGTGTGTTATTATTTGTATTGTTAGTTATTATGAATAATTAGATACTTTTAATTAGGTGAGCATAGAGCATAGAATGACATACAAAATCAAATGTAACATTTCAGCTCCAGTATTTAATAGGATCTCAGTGTGCATGAGGGGTACCTGGGTGCTGCTGCTGGAGCCACTCTGCAGGCGAGCCAGGCTCTGTCTGTCTGAGCTGCAGCTCTGGGAGGACTGGCATGGGTAGTACCAGAGAACCAGCAGGGGAGAAAACAGGTCAGTAAAACCTGGCACAACACATAATGTGGACAAGTTTGACAGTAGGCCTGTATGTATTGATATGTAACTGTCGTAAAGGCAGTGTATTATTAGTGCCCCAAGTTAACATTTCACTATATGCTTTGTACTTTCATATTATTGAGGCGTTGGAGATCTAACATGTTGGTCAAGACAACATATTGGTCTACCGGGTATCCTGTGTTCCATAAGACTGTGCGTGTGGACAGGCGTGGGTGCGTCACCTCATTACTGATGCTGGAGTCACGGTGCATCATCCTCTGAACAGGGCTTGGATTATCCACGCTGGCCGAGACAGACAAGCACTTAGCCAGCGCCGCTGCATGCTGCTCCTTCTCCCGCTGCCGCACGATGGCCTCGCAGCCCAGCCACTCGCTCATGGTCTGCTCGTAGCACGCCCGCACCTGCTCATCCACCTGCACCGTGTCACAGGGCAAGGGTCAGGGGTTGGAGGTCAAGGGGTTTTGGTGGTGATATCTAATGGCAAGGGTGACACCAACCTCTTCCCTGTCAGACTCAGACATGCCAAACTGGTAGTGGCCCAGGAGGAAGGGCCACACCTCCTTACGCAGCGAAGGTTCAACACCGCCGAAGTACACCAGGCGCAGCAGCTCCTGCTCCTTATAGGCCTGGAGAGCAGAGGGGGACAGGCCTCAGTCATTGAACCGCAACACACACAGATATAGAAAGGCGTATGTACAGACTTGGGTTGAAATACCAGTAGTAGTCGTTTTCATGAAGTTACTCGTTTTGAGAGTTTGATCGAGCCTGTCTGGAGTGCGGGTTTCACTTTTAGGACTATTCCATTGGTTCCATTGTGCCAGGTGAGCTCATTTAAGCGCCACTAAACTATTTGAAAGCTAACAAATATTTTGTGAGCCCAGGTCGGAATATACTGTACAGTACACACAATGACGTACCCACACATGAATACACTAACATTTACATATACACTGACATAAAACAATTCACAAGAACACATAACAAAAAAAGGAGGCCAGTGGCTTATCTACAGTACATCAATTCTTCTGCAGAATGGTTGTGTACCACTGGATGTCAGTGGGGGTCCTAATTCACTGTTAAATAATGTATAATACATAATCTAGCCCTTTTAGCTAAATGCCCAGATTGACTACACACAGTAGAACTGTACAAACACAGATTGGACACACATGGATGAACTAGATAGATTATTAGTCAACCGAGTCCCTCCCATGAAAATGTCTCCTGTTACGCTTAATGGCAGGGCATTAGTCACCCTTGCATACGTTTGGTTGTGTGAGTAAGAATGTGTGATGATTAACGGGTGAATATAGATGAGTGTGTGTATGTGCGTGCGTGCGTCTGTGTGTGCGTCTGTGTGTGCGCGCGCATCTTGTCGCCAGGGGGTTTGAGCTGGCTGGTACTGCACAGTGTGTGTCTGTGATGATGTTAGCAATGATGCTAATAATGTGATGGTGATACTTACAGTGCAGTCCTGAAGGAACCTCTGCCACACCTCGGCGGTGAGGCCCGTGAAGGCATCACTGGGCACATCGGGCGCCACGATGGTGTGGTTGACCAGGGCCGAGAGGTGTGTACGTACAGTGGACAGTTGACGACAATAAGCTAGCCCTGAAAATACAAAAACATAACTGCTTTCAAATGATCCTCCTTTCCGAGATTTTATGTGATAAATTATCTAATAAGGCGATCATACATCTGACACCTAATTAATAGTTGGACGCTAGACTAATTGATGAACTGTTTGAAATTAAAATCCGTTGCAACGCGTTGCAAATCATCTAGGGGTACAGAAGATAGAAGAGTTGTGTTCACAATCACGTACAGCCGTAGAACGCCCGGGAGATGATCTGATTCTTCATCTGGTCACACAGCAGCTTCAAAGGGGCTCTGCAGAGGGAAACAGCACACAAATCTAACCTCGATACTGCCTTCAGCTGTTTGTTCTTCAGCCTTTACCGATCCCACTGACCTGAGAAGGATACGAGATCCACAAACCCGGGTTCAAATACTATTTGAAATTATTTGTGCTTGAATGAGCTTGCCTATTGCAATGGAACCAATAGAAAAGTCTAGAAAGTGCATACCTGCCCACCTGGCACTCCAAGTCAGGCTAAAGCAAACACTCAAAGTATTTGAAAGATTTCAAAGAGTATTTGAACCTGGGTCTGTGGATCTCGTATCCTTCTCAGGTCAGTGGGATCAGTAAAGGCCAGGGATGATGTCTGGGTAACCAGCAGTGTGTGTCCTTCTCTGACCTTTCATGGTTGCACCCGTTGGGGGGTCCTCCATGTGAGAAGCTGACCTGGGTACAGGACGAGCAGGAGGACTTCCTGGGGGTGGGCTGCCACATGTTGGCCCCCTGGTCCATCAGCTCTGGAGCCACTACACCACAGAACAGCATACACACACATCATGGTTAGCGCACAGTATGAGGTTTGAAACATATCAGACCCACGTCAAATACATAAATAAAAGACTTGAAAGTATTTGAGGTGTACCTGATTTAGCTTGGAGTTGCCATTGTACTAGGCAAACTATATCAAGCAGAGCTCACGTATGAGAGTATCTGACTTATATGTACAGGAAACTGCCAAAATAAAGGAAATGTATATTGAACGCAGGTGCTTCCACACAGGTGTGGTTCCTGAGTTAATTAAGCAATTAAAACATCCCATCATGCTTAGGGTCATGTATATAAATGCCCAGTTGCCCATTATGTTGTCTACCATGGCTAGAAGAGATCTCAGTAGCTAGGTTTCCATCCAATTGGCGATATAGTTTCATGCGAATATTCTAAAATCTGCATAAAGAAAATATGCACATTTTCACACAAGTGTGTTTCCACCAAACTGACTTGTTGCATATAAAAATCAGTGCGTGATGACATAGTGCACACAAAATGTACTTTTTTGCTTAAGTTTTCATGTACCGAATAAAATGTTTAAGTTAAATGTGTTTCCACTGCATTTTCAACTCTACCTATAGTTTTGTCACAAAAACTGTTGCGTTAAATAGAAAATGTGCTTACTCTGGTCTTGGCACGTGCAAGTAGGCTAGTCTACATGATGAGATTATTAATATTTTTAGTTGTCAAAACGGCAGACAAGTATCAATCATCATGTCACCAGAATAAGACCCTCGATATTTATTAGCTCATCCCCGTGCACTTTCACCACCCTGTGAAGCTCATCATATAATTTATTTAATCCGTAGCCTAATAAACTGCATGGTTTATTGAGTCGTAGTGGGACGACCTAACGCCATATCATCGCGTGACTCCAAGTTTACTTTGATATGATCTTTCCATTGCCATTTCTCGCATAATTTATTTTACAGACACAGAAAGATACCACCATGTTTTAACGAAAAAATGTGTCGGCATTTATAAAATTGAACCGAAACTTCCTGTTTCCATCACAGCTGTTGGGATTTTGTTTTTCATGAAGGTATAACTTTACTCGCATAAAAACTGTGCATGGAAATGTGGTTAGTGACTTTAAAAGAGGGGTCTCAAAGGAGCATAGGGGGTTTAAAAGTGTGTGTGTGTGTCTCAGTCACCAGATCGCAACCCTATTGAACACTTATGGAAGATTCTGGAGCGGCGCCTGAGACAGCGTTTTCCACCACCATCAACAAAACACCAAATTATGGAATTTCTCATGGAAGAATAGGGTCGCATCCCTCCAATAGAGTTCCAAACACTTGTAGAATCTATGCCAAGCGCGTTGAAGCTGTTCTGGCGGCTCATTGTGGCCCAACGCCCTATTAAGACACTTTATGTTGGTTATTCCTTTATTTTGGCAGTTACCTGTATTTGACCATGGTCAAACTCTGTGTTATACTGTAACTGCACAGGCTCAAACTCTCAGACAGAATCACATTGCCCCATCATGATTTGGATACCTCTGCAGATGATTCTCAAGACACGATCACAGCTGAATTAGTTTGAGCATGATCCGTCACTAGATTAGAGGATAGGTTAATAGCTGCCATAGAGGTTAGGTGGCATTAGAGAACAAATCAAGCACATCAACAAGGACATTTGGGGAATCAAAACATTTCAATCTGTGGAGGGTGTAGAACTGTCTGTCGGCATGGTAATGACGACACATTCTTATTGGACTTTCTCTATTCTGTTAACGCGCACATACTGAAGTTTTCACGCAAATCTTCCATTGACGTCAAGGCATGACATTCTGAGTTAAGTGTGTGCATCTGAACTTAGGATTCAACCCTTAACATGTCAATTTCAACATTTGCTCTTTTGCTACTACTTTAAACCACTATTTACCTCGACATAACGTTTTGATTTTTCGATTGGAAGACCCATAGTCAGCCACCTATTGTCCAAGAGGAACTGAGGTTAAGGAAAGGGGACAGAGAGTGCTTGATTAGGGGACTCATTTGTAAGGTTTGTAGGGAGGAGACAGAGGGCGAGGCGGTGATTGAAGCAAAGCAAGTGGACGGACAGACAGACGGAGGAGCTGAGGTGTGGCAACATTACAGCTGTTCCCTGTGGTGTGTGAGGAGGGGTCTCTGGGACAGCTGAAGGAGCGCTTGGGGACCACCAAGGTCCATTTGGATGGGGGCTGTCCTCTCAGGTGGAGGGAGAAGGAGTGGGACTGGAGAGGAGCCCCCGGGGAAACACGGGGAGGGTGTGTTATAGTCACTGGAACGGACAATGAGGACAGTTGGACAAAAAATAAACAAAAAACATGATTCCGGGGCCACCTGAAGTTACCACACGAATAATAGTTGTCATGGAGCAAATGAAAACCAGGATATTACCAGTGCTCTGGAGGAGGGGTCAAAGTCACTTACCAAACTCTGATTGGCTGTTTGGGAACAGGATGCGGAAGACATAGTCTGTGGCTTCATCCTCCTCCTTATCGGACACTGAGTCCGAGGAGCCCTGTAAACACTTGTTTCTCAGTTTAGGGAACACCTTCCCCTGTAATCAGAAATTAGGTGAATAGTAGATACAGTAAATGCCAACAAAACAATTTGTAAGAAGGTGACAAACTGTAGCAAAACTGTTATTCAGGATCGAAAATGATTAACAGCATTCTTTGTTTGTTTAGACAAAACTAATAATACATTTTTTTTAAATGACAATTTTAAATCGCCTAGATTTTTAAAACATCCACACTTTCACCAAACAGAAGGACTGCTTATATAAGCCATACTTAATAAGGTCTGGCTTAAAGCAGCCATGTGTGGGTGGTTTTTATCATTTCTTCTGCCCAGTAGACATGATGTAGTCTTTACAGTCTAACACATACAGTGCCTAGTGAAAGTCTACAAATCCCTTTCCCAATTGTCAAAAAAGGGATTCAATTATTATTTTTCCTACAGATTTACATAACCTGCTCCACATTTTCAAGTAAAAGAAACAGTAAAGAACACTCTCTAAATTAATAAAAAATTCACACCAAGAGTTAATACTTGGTGGAAGCCACTTTGGCAGCAATATTTTTTTTTCTACAGCTGTAATTCTATTGGAATAATATTCTACTCTGCACAACTCTTAGGGCAACATACACTATATATACAAAAGTATGTGGACACCCCTTGAAATGCGTGAAAAGGAAATTTCAGCCACACCCGTTGCGGATATGTCTATAAAATGTAGCACACTGCCATGGAATCTACATAAACAAACATTGGCAGTAGAATGGCCTTACTGAAGAGCTGAATGACTTTCAACGTGGCACCGTCATAGGATGCCACCTTTCCAACAAGTCAGTTTGTCAAATTTCTGCCCTGCTAGAGCTGCCCTGGTCAACTAAGTGCTTTTATTGTGAAGTGGAAACATCTAGGAGCAACAACGGCTCAGTCACAATGTGGTAGGCCACACAAGCTCACAGAACGGGACCAGCACAAGAACTGTTCAGGAACTTAATGAAATGGGTTTCCATGGCCAAGCAGCAGCACACAAGCCTAAGATCACCATGCGCAATGTGAAGCGTCGGCTGGAGTGGTGTAAAGCTCGCCGCCATTGGACTCTGGAGCAGTGGAAACGCGTTCTCTGCGGTGATGAATCACGCTTCCCCATCTGGCAGTCCAATAGACGAATCTGGGATTGGCGGATACCAGGAGAACTCTACACGCCCCAATGCATAGTGCCAACTGTAAAGTTTGGTGGAGGAGGAATAATGGTCTGGGGCTGTTTTCCATGGTTTGGGCTAGGCCCCTTAGTTCCAGTGAAGGGAAATCTTAACGCTACAGCATACAATTACATTCTAGACGATTCTGTGCTTCCAACTTTGTGGCAACAGTTTGGGGAAGGCCCTTTCCTGTTTGAGCATGACAATGCCCCCGTGCACAAAGCGAGGTCCGTACAGAAATGGTTTGTCAAGATCGGTGTGGAAGAACTTGACTGGCCTGCACAGAGCCCTGACCTCAACCCCATCAAACACCTTTGAGATTAATTGGAACGCCGACTGCGAGCCAGGCTTAGTCACCCAACATCAGTGCCCGAACTCACTAATGCTTGTGGCAGCAAGTCCCTGCAGCAATGTTCCAACATCTAGTGGAAAGCCTTCCCAGAAGAGTGGAGGCTGTTTTAGCAGCAAAAGGGGGACAAACTCCATATTAATGCTCATGATTTTGGAACGAGATGATCGACAAGCAGGTGTCTGCATACCTTTGGTCATGTAGTGTACAGTGCATTCGGAAAGTATTCAGACCCCTTGGACTTTTTCCACATTTTGTTACGTTACAGCCATATTCTAAAATGGATTTTTAAAAAAAAATCCTCTTCAATCTACACACAATTCCCCATAATGACAAAGCGAAAACAGGTTTTTAGAAATGTTTGCTAATTTATTACGATTAAAAAACAGAAATACCTTATTTACATAAGTATTCAGACATTTGCTATTAGACTCGAAATTGAGCTCATGTGCATCCTGTTTCCATTGATCATCCTTGAGATGTTTCTACAATGTGATTGGAGTCCACCTGTGGTAAATTGAATTGATTGGACATGATTTGGAAAGGCACACACCTGTCTATATAAGGTCCCATAGTTGACAGTGCATGTCAGAGCAAAAACCAAGCCATGAGGTCGAAGGAATTGTCCGTAGAGCTCAGAGAAAGGATTGTGTCGAGGCACAGATCTGGGGAAAGGTACCAAAAAAAATTCTGCAGCATTGAAGATCCCCAAGAACACAATGGCCTCCATAATTCTTAAATGGAAAAAGTTTGGAACCACCAAGACTCTTTCTAGAGCTGGCCGCCCGGCCAAACTGAGCAATCGGGGGAGAAGGGCTTTGGTCAGGGAGGTGACCAAGAACCCGATGGTCACTCTAACAGAGCTCATATGTGGAGATTTGAGAACCTTCCAGAAGGGCAACCATCTCTGCAGCACTCCACCAATCAGGCCTTTATGGTAGAGTGGCCAGACGGAAGCCACTCCTCAGTAAAAGGCACATGACAGCCCACTTGGAGTTTGAAAAAATGGCACCTAAAGGACTCAGACCATTAGAAACAAGATTCTCTGGTCTGATGAAACTAAAATTGATCTCTTTGGCCTGAATGCCAAGTGTCACGTCTGGAGGAAACTTGGCACCATCCCTACAGTGAAGCATGGTGGTGGCAGTATCATGTTTTTCAGCAGCAGGGACTGGGAGACTAGTCAGGATCGAGGGAAAGATGAACGGAGCAAAGTACAGAGAGATCCTTGATGAAAACCTGCTCCAGAGCGCTCAGGACCTCGGACTGGGGAGAAGGTTCACCTTCCAACAGGACAACGACCCTAAGCACACAGCCAAGAAAACTCAGGAGTGGTCTCTGAATGTCCTTGAGTGGCCCAGCCAGAGCCCGGACTTGAACCCGATCTAATATCTCTGGAGAGACCTGAAAATAGCTGTGGAGCAGCGCTCCCCATCAACCTGACGGAGTTGGAGAGGATCTGCAGAGAAGAATGGGAGAAACTCCCCAAATACAGGTGTGCCAAGCTTGTAGCGTCATACCCAAGAATACTCGAGGCTGTAATCGCTGCCAAAGTTGTTTCAACAAAGTATTGAGTAAAGGGTCTGAATACTTATGTAAAATGTGATATTTTGCAAAAATGTCTTTGTTATTATGGGGTATTGTGTGTAGATTGAGATGAGGGGGAAAAAACAATTGAATCCATTTTAGAATAAGGCTGTAACATAACAAAATGTGGAAATAGTTAAGTGGTCTGAATACTTTCCGAATGCACTGTATATCCATTGTTTTTGTAAAAATTGCTCAAGCGCTGTAAATTTGGTTGGGAATCATTAATGGACAGCAATATTCAAACCTTGTCTCAGTTTTTCAAGCAGTTTAAATGTCAGGACTGAGACTGGACCCCTCAGGAACACTCAACACCTCTTGGAAAGCCATTCTGGTGTCTTTGGCATAATCTGGTAGGGAATTGTCCTGCTGAAAAATGTAATTCTATTACATTTACGTCATTTAGCAGACGCTCTTATCCAGAGCGACTTACAGTTAGTGCATACATTATTATTATTTTTTATTTTTTTCATACTGGCCCCCCATGGGAATCGAACCCACAACCCTGGCGTTGCAAACGCCATGCTCTACCAACTGAGCTACATCCCTGGGTTATGTATTCAGGAGACTGAGGCAGGTTTTCCTCTAGCTTTAAACCTGGGCTTTGCTCCTTTCACATTATTTTGATCCTGACAAACTCCCCAGCCCCTGCCAGTTACAAGCATACCCATAACATGATGCTGCCCCCACAATACTTGAAAATATAAAAAGGATCAACAACATTGCATTCACACTACATTACTGCCATTTTGACAAAGTGAAACAAAGGAAGCCTGTGTTAAGAAAAATAAATGTCAAGTCATCCATTAGGTTTGCAAGAAGGCCCTTAAGTAATACTGGAAGACATCATGGCAAATAAATTAACCTTTTGGCTTAAAATAAAAACTTTAGGTTTGGGACAAATCCAATAAAACACATCACAGTGTGTATTTTCAAGTATTGTGGTGGCAGCATCTTGTTATATGTACGCTTCTCACCGGGAAGGGACATCATGAGTTTGTCAGGGACTGAGGAGTTCGTCAGGATCAAAATAAATATGAAAGGAGCAAAGCCCAGGTAAAAAGGTAGAGGAAAACCTTTCTCTACTTCTATAATTTTCCATACTTGTTCTTTCACTTTGAAAATGTGGATCAGGTTGTGTAGATCTGTAGGCAAAATATCAAATGTAATCCCTTTTTAGTTTTAATTTTAAGGCAGCAAAAATGTGACATCTGTGCAAGGGGTGTATAAACCCTGGATTGCTGATGCTATGCATTGGCCATTAAGAGGCTTTGAAGCCACCGGTCGGCCATATTGGCACTCCCCAGTAGGAGCAGTCCTCAGTAAGAATTAATGGAATTCAATGTTTCAAGGACAAAATTACATGTATTTATGTCTTTTTTGTTTTAGTGAGGACAGTAACATTAGAAATCCCAAAAATATATATTTTAAGGATTCTTTCTGTAATAGAATAAATGTTGCAAAAACGAATGTAGACATTAAGAAATGCATTTCTATAGCTTCCAAAATATATTTTACAATGGTGGGAGAGTGCAAAGATGGAGTCACTGTGGCTTCAACACTGCGCCCCCCTATCGGTCAAGTGTATATACAGTGCATATACATCATTGATATTAACACACGTGCAGGTTCCAAAATAATCCAATATCTGCCCCCCAAAAATCGAACTATTAAATGAAATAATATTTGGCTCTGTCAGGGACCCCCCATTCACATGGTTGTATTGAACTGTTGGATGACTAAACAGAGCATTCCCCCATGTGTCACCCCTCAGATAGTCCCTTGTGAGTAGACATCCAGGGCTGACCTTTCCTCTCTGGGACCAGAGCGGAGGATCCAGCTGGCCATGGGGCAAGAGGCCGTTCTCCAGGCAGGAGAGGAACTGGAGCAGATGCCCCCCTCTAGGGAAGTGCAGCGGGGGTCTCTGGATGCCGTCCTGGCTCACCAGCACCACCGTGCCCCCGCTGTCCACTGCAGAGACAATATTATACCTTTTATGGACCTTTTAAACCTATTATTACAGTTTTGATGGTAAAATCATAATGAAAAAACTGTGCAAATTGATTATCCATTGTAAGGATATGAACAACTCTATAAATGAACCAGAACTAGCTGTTGTTGATATCAGTAGCTAGCAGACTAGCTCCATAAAAGACACAGCAATTACATTCCAGACATTACAATGAGCCTGTGCTCTGAATGTCTACCTCCACTAGCCTCTGCTTGTGAACCTACCCTGCTGATGACAGTGCAAATAAACAATCTCCTCCAGACGGATGGTCATAGCGTAATCCCAGTACACACTGAAAGAGATGGAATCAAAGCAGGGGTTATTGAGATGTCACTCACCTTGTCACACTGAGCTAAACAACAAAGTTGGCCAAAGGGATATGTGTGTTGTATCGCTCTTGGTGTGTGTAGAACTCTGAATAGGATTGGTGTTACTGAATGTAGAAACGATTTAAGTTGGGGTTCAGTATTTTGCATAAGTAGGTGGAGTGAAACCGATGCTGGCACTAAGACCACACTCAATGAACTGTATACAGCCATAAGCAAACAGGAAAACGCTCATCCAGAGGTGGCGCTCCTAGTGGCCAGGGACTTTAATGCAGGGAAACTTAAATAAGTTTTACCTAATTTCTACCAGCATGTTAAATGTGCAACCAGAGGAAAAAAAAAAAAAACTCTAGACGACCTTTACTCCACACACAGAGACGCGTACAAAGCTCTCCCTCGCCCTCCATTTGGCAAATCTGACCATAATTCTATCCTCCTGATTCCTGCATAGAAGCAAAAACTAAAGCAGGAAGCACCAGTGACTCGGTCAATAAAAAAGTGGTCAGATGAAGCAGATGCTAAGCTACAGGACTGTTTTGCTAGCACAGACTGGAATATGTTCAGAGATTCTTACGATGGCATTGAGGAGTACACCACATCAGTCACTGGCTTCATCAATAAGTGCATTGATGACGTCGTCCCCACAGTGACCGTACGTACATACCCCAACCAGAAGCCATGGATTACAGGCAACATCCGCACTGAGCTAAAGGGTAGAGCTGCCACTTCAAGGAGCGGGACTCTAACCCGGAAGCTTATAAGAAATCCCGCTATGCCCTCCGACGAACCATCAAACAGGCAAAGCGTCAATTCAGGACTAAGATAGAATCGTACTAAACAGGCTCCGACGCTCGTCGAATTTGGCAGGGCTTGCAAACTATTACAGACTACAAAAGGGAAGCACAGCCGCGGCTGCCCAGTGACACGAGCCTACCAGACGAGCTAAATTACTTCTATGCTTGCTTCGAGGCAAGTAACACTGAAACATGCATGAGACCATCAGCTGTTCAGGACGACTGTGTGATCATACTCTCCGTAGTCGATGTGAGTAAGACCTTTAAACAGGTCAACATTCACAAGGCCGCAGGGCCAGACGGACTACCAGGACGTGTACTCCGAGCACTGACATTTTCAACCTCTCCCTGTCTGAGTCTGTAATACCAACATGTTTCAAGCAGACCACCATAGTCCCTGTGCCCAAGAACACTAAGGTAACCTGCCTAAGTGACTACCGACCCATAGCACTCACGTCTGTAGCCATGAAGTGCTTTGAAAGGCTGGTCATGGCTCACATCAACACCATTATCCCAAAACCATAGACCAACTCCAATTTGCATACCGCCCCAACAGATCCACCGATGACGCAATCTCTATTGCACTCCACACTGCCCTTTCACACCTGGACAAAAGGAACACCTATGTGAGAATGCTATTCATTGACTACAGCTCAGCGTTCAACACCAAAGTGCCCTCAAAGCTCATCACTAAGCTAAGGACCCTGGGACTAAACACCTCCCTCTGCAACTGGATCCTGGACTTCCTGACGGGCCGCCCCCAGGTGGTAAGGGTAGGTAACAACACATCTGCCACGCTGATCCTCAACACGGGGGCCCCTCAGGGGTGCGTGCTCAGTCCCCTCCTGTACTCCCTATTCACTCATGACTACATGGCCAGGCACGACTCCAACACCATCATTAAGTTTGCCGATGACACAACAGTGGTAGGCCTGATCACCGACAACGACGAGGCAGCCTATAGGGAGGAGGTCAGAGACCTGGCCATGTGGTGCCGGGACAACAACCTCTCCCTCAACGTGATCAAGACAAAGGAGATGATTGTGGACTACAGGAAAAAAAAGAGGAACGAGCACGCCCCCATTCTCATCGACGGGGCTGTAGTAGAGCATGTTGAGAGCTTCAAGTTCCTTGGTGTCCACATCACCAACAAACTAACATTGTCCAAGCACACCAAGACAGTCGTGAAGAGGGCACGACAAAACCTATTCCCCCTCAGGAGACTGAAAAGATTTGGCATGGGTCCTCAGATCCTCAAAAAGTTCTACATCTGCACCATCGAGAGCATCCTGACTGGTTGCATCACTGCCTGGTATGGCAACTGCTTGGCCTCCGACTGCAAGGCACTACAGAGGGTAGTGCATACGGCCCAGTACATCACTGGGGCCAAGCTTCCTGCCATCCAGAACCTCTATACCAGATGGTGTCAGAGGAAGGCCCTAAAAATTGTCTAAGACTCCAGCCATCCTAGTCATAGACTGTTCTCTGCTACCGCACGGCAAGCGGTACCGGAGCGCCAAGTCTAGATCCTAAAGGCTTCTAAACAGCTTCTACCCCCAAGCCATAAGACTCCTGAACATCTAATCAAATGGTTACCCAGACTATTTGCATTGCCCCCCCTCTTTTACGCTGCTGCTACTCTCTGTTTATTATCTATGCATAGTCACTTTAATAACTCTACCTACAAGTACAGTGACGGAAAATAGTATTTGATCCCCTGCTGATTTTGTACGTTTGCCCACTGACAAAGAAATGATCAGTCTATAATTTTAATGGTAGGTTTATTTGAACAGTGAGAGGCATTTTATTGAGGGAAATAAGTATTTGACGCCCTCTCAATCAGAAAGATTTCTGGCTCCCAGGTGTCTTTTATACAGGTAACGAGCTGAGATTAGGAGCACACTCTTAAAGGGAGTGCTCCTAATCTCTGCTTGTTACCTGTATAAAAGACACCTGTCCACAGAAGCAATCAATCAATCAGATTCCAAACTCTCCACCATGGCCAAGACCAAAGAGCTCTCCAAGGATGTCAGGGACAAGATTGTAGACCTACACAAGGCTGGAATGGGCTACAAGACCATCGCCAAGCAGCTTGGTGAGAAGATGACAACAGTTGGTGCGATTATTCGCAAATGGAAGAAACACAAAAGAACTGTCAATCTCCCTCGGCCTGGGGCTCCATGCAAGATCTCACCTCGTGGAGTTGCAATGATCATGAGAACGGTGAGGAATCAGCCCAGAACTACACGGGAGGATCTTGTCAATGATCTCAAGGCAGCTGGGACCATAGTCACCAAGAAAACAATTGGTAACACACTACGCCGTGAAGGACTGAAATCCTGCAGCGCCCGCAAGGTCCCCCTGCTCAAGAAAGCACATATACAGGGTCGTCTGAAGTTTGCCAATGAACATCTGAAAGATTCAGAGGAGAACTGGGTAAGTGTTGTGGTCAGATGAGACCAAAATGGAGCTCTTTGGCATCAACTCAACTCGCTGTGTTAGGAGGAGGAATGCTGCCTATGACCCCAAGAACACCATCCCCACCGTCAAATATGGAGGTGGAAACACTATCCTTTGGGGGTGTTTTTCTGCTAAGGAACAGGACAACTTCACTGCATCAAAGTGACGATGGACGGGGCCATGTACCGTCAAATCTTGGGTGAGAACCTCCTTCCCTCAGCCAGGGCATTGAAAATGGGTCGTGGATGGGTATTCCAGCATGACAATGACCCAAAACACACGGCCAAGGCAACAAAGGAGTGGCTCAAGAAGAAGCACATTAAGGTCCTGGAGTGGCCTATCCAGTCTCCAGACCTTAATCCCATAGAAAATCTGTGGAGGGAGCTGAAGGTTCGAGTTGCCAAACGTCAGCCTCGAAACCTTAATGACTTGGAGAAGATTTGCAAAGAGGAGTGGGACAAAATCCCTCCTGAGATGTGTGCAAACCTGGTGGCCAACTACAAGAAACTTCTGACCTCTGATTGCCAACAAGGGTTTTGCCACCAAGTACTAAGTCATGTTTTGCAGAGGGGTCAAATACTTATTTCCCTCATTAAAATGCAAATCAATTCATAACATTTTTGGCATACGTTTTTCTGGATTTTTTTGTTGTTATTCTGTCTCACACTGTTCAAATAAACCTACCATTAAAATGATAGACTGATCATTTCTTTGTCAGTGGGCAAACGTACAAAATCAGCAGGGGATCAAATACTTTTCCCCCCTCACTGTACATATTACCCAAATTACCTCGACTAACCGGTGCCCCTGCACATTGGCACATTGACTCGTTACCAGTACCCCCTGTATGTAGCCTCGCGGTTGTTATTTTTACTGCTGCTCTTTAATTATTTGTTAATTTCATTTCGTATAATTGTTTATTGTATTTATTTGTGTAATTTTTTTTGGTATTCTTTCTTAAAACTGCATTGTTGGTTAAGGGCTTGTAAGTAAGCATTTCACTGTAAGGTCTACACCAGTTGTATTTGGCGCATGTGACAAATATTTGATTTGATTTGGAGGGGCATTTTATTGTACATTGAGAATGAGTGGCTAAGAACCAGATGTGTTTTACATGCCCTTTAACACGTACGAACACACAGATGTGATCATTCTACAGTGGTCCCTGCAGCGTACGCTCAAACCGGTGTGATTAGAACGCTTATTTAGAACGTCCAGTGACGATTGACGCAACAGTCAGCGTTTGAGCTGGCCACACTGTTTTTGCACAGAAACATTTTGCACAAACAGTCTTTACAACGTTATGTCCTCAATGTGAGCAGTTTATTTTTGGATGCAATGTTCAGACATTCACAGAAGTAGCGACAGTATAACACAATTCTCATCCAAACTGGAACATTTTGGCTACATTAGTCGTAGCGCTAACTGAGGAAGGAATGACCTAACACAAGCGGTCCTATTTAGCTAACACTCGGCTGACAGAACCATAATATGAATTAGCTAATAGCAATTACTATTTACAATTCACACATCACGGGTTACCTCACCAGTGATTGAAATAATTGAGTAAAACACTTTCAAAATGTTTTAAGTTATCCAACGATGGGTAGTTTGTGCACGCCGCCATGTTTGTTTTTTCGCGTTAACCAAAGATAAGAGGTTACAAGAAGAGTTGGGTCTGTTTGCAGTATGCATGTTGAAGGGGGGGGGTGTCGTCTACCATCATTCAATTCCGTCATTCACTTGCGGAAGTTTATTTGAAAGACGAGTGAACCATTCCTTCACCTCGTTTTGTTATAACATCTTTGGTCTGACAGACGTCTACGTGACAACCAGACTGCATTGCATGATGTCAACAAACATGGCGGCAAACATAGCTGTAATTAGCTTAGCATTAGCTCATCATAATCAGTCCAACCTTCAAAAAAGTATTTTACACACATCATATCTGTCCATTACAATCTATGCAAGAATCGGAATGCATGATTTGTCACCAGTACTTGAAAACGGGAATAAAACAGTAAATACATAATGCTCCATAAGGTGTGCTACAGTAGAAACGACAACACGATATACAGAAACTATAATGATACAGTAATAAGGCACTTAATTTGATAGGAACGCACACATGTCCAAAGTTATTATTAGTAGTGAAGGCAATGCAGGCGTCAGACGGAAAATGTGCCAGGGAGGAAAAAGTTTGTTTGGGCTCTCTTCAAAGAGGGAAGTTTGTCCGGCTCAGTAATGCCTCAAATGTAAAATGTCCACCACAGTGAAATGGGCTACTTCTATGTGAATTAATGATGAGGCGGAACACACCTAAATTCAAACGGGTGTTATAAAAAAAACTTGTTAAAAAATAATTGACAGGTTGAAACACAGCCTATAGATAATTAGCAGGCAGCGTGCTTTGGTTTGAGGGCAGTAAGGGTTAACTGTTCTGTTGTGTAACAATCACATTTTGGAACAGTGAGTGCATTCTGACATCACGCGCATAAAATAAAAGACTCACGATATTTGGAACTCACGTGTGAAAAGGTTAATACAGCCACAAACAACATTACGGCCTAAGAACCAGAGTCACTAAAATAATATGACTGGTTGCTTTGAAATATGCATGACCATTTCCCCATCAAAACCGTACCCCTGCTGCCCCTGAAAGCAACCCTCATCATATCCCCATCTCCAGAGTTGACCCCAGGACACAGAGCCCTCCTGAATCTCACTCAGACAGACACGCTGCATGATTTAGTGACACTGATCCACTGTAGACAATAACTACAACACACAGGTGGTGCATGTCATTGCTCTGTTGTGCCAGCTTGATGTACATAAATAAGAGACATGATTGTTAGTGAATTGCTCTCCACACCTGTGCTCATAGTCCAGGTCTCCCACAGAGCCGTTCATCAGCTGATTGGGCGTCCACTTCAGCGTCATGATGTCGGCGGTCTGGTGGAGAGAGAGGTATCCTGGGATAGCCTCCATGTCATCCCTCTGTAACACCAAGAAGGATATTAGTTTGACGATCTGTTTTCTATAGTGCACTATGAAGAAATGTTTGACACTTTTTTTTTCAGATTGGCATTAGAAATGTCTCTCCAAATGGGTCTACTATTTTGTGGTGTTAACAACTGGTATATTCGCTTTCACTGAATATTTTGAGAGTTTCCAAAAGCTATCATAAATATGGGGGAGTCCGGACACTGACAGATCATCTTGCACAGCAACCACAAAATGGCCAATCTCTCTACATACTGTATATGGCTCTGAGCATATCTAGAGATGCTCATTTCTTATTTATACAGTACATAGAACACTCCTAGAGATGGTAGAAGGATGAAATGTTTACCGGCTGCACCAGCACGTTGTTCTTTCCAAACAGCAGGGTGGCTCTGTTGTTCTGGTGCAGTGACTCCACATAGTCCCGGGCTGAGGGCGAGGGGGAAGGCCGCTCATCAATGCTGCTACTGGAATGTCTCTTCTGGATCTGGAAACACAGACAATTTGTATGTTTTTACCCCCATTCCAATTTATCCATCCGTCCATCCAGCTTCCATATATTGGCCAATTAGTTTCACACATCATAGGCTGTCCACCCACTCTGCCCGCTTTGGTGATGACATTTCACTTCCTTATATATTCGTAAGCTAATACATCCGCTAATAAGCACCGATCTCTGTTGACAGAGGGGTGCAGCTAAACTTTTTAGGATTTTACATTTTGTTGTCGTTGTCTTCCAAGTTGTTTCCGCGGGTGACAAGTAGCAAAATTAGCATGACACAAGCTGAATTAAGTGTAAAAGGCTTTGGAAATAAAAAGCTTGCGGTACGCTCAGTGATCCGTTGACATTTCACAGAGATACGCTTGCCCAGCAAACATGACTGAGCGGGGCCCTTTGTGGCTGAGATTGGGCTGTGCGGGCTTAAGATGGCCCGAAATCAGCCATCAGTGGCCCCTCGCGGTCAAGAAAATTCTGGGCCACCACTGAGCGGTTGGGATTGGACCCGCACTCAGTGAAGCGCACATTAAGAATACTCCAATCGTTTGCCAATTCATCATCTTCACTAGAGGATATTAATGATTAATGTGTTAGAAGATGTTCATCCGGAATTGAATCTTCACGAGGAGCCTAATCATGTGTATCTGGATTGCTTAAGTTCTTTGGATGAAAATCTTGTTGGTGACGATAGTGATGAGACAAGTAACAGCTTTGATGAGGAAGAAGAGGAAGATAATAATTCTGCAAAGTTATGCAAGGTGTTATGTGAGTGGGCATTGAGAAATGATATACCACAGAACACCCTCTCAGATCTTCTTGGTGTGCTGAAGGAATTCCATCCAAATCTACCAAAGCATGCTCGTACTGTCCTACAAACGGCAAAAATAGAATCCAACGTTCAAACCATTAAGGGTGGCGAGTATTTACACCTTGGCATTGTGTCTTATCTCAAGACAATATCCAGCCGCCTCGTCAACATTGCCAACACCACCATTGGCCTCCAAGTGAATGTTGATGGTTTTTCCTTATACAGCTCTTCTTTGCAGTTGTGACCAATTTTAGGCAAAGTCTATTTTGAGAAGGAGTGTTTTTTCTGGCAAGAGTAAACCACATGATTTGGGGGTATATTTGTCTGACTTTATGGAGGAGGTAGGGAGACTACAGGAGGGTTTTGAGGTGGCAGGGAAATCATTCACTTTACATATTGTTTCATTTGTGATGCTCCAGCAAGATCGTTCATTAAGAACATTAAGGGCCATAATGGGTACAGTGGGTGTGAGCGCTGTACTCAGGAAGGGGTCTATGTCAAGAATCATATGACGTTCCCAGATAAAACAGCTACAATCCGCACAGAAGATCAGTTTGAGACAGGAAGATGAAAATCACCATAAAAGGACAATCTAATGTTACCCCGATGAACATAGGCATGGTCACAACGTTCATTCTTGACTACATGCACCTTGTTTGTCTTGGAGTAACTCGGAAGTTGATGTATTTTTGGATGAAATTGGATTTTTCTTGTAGATTGGAATCTTGGGCAGTGAGAGCCACCTCAAGGGGTTGGTGTCAATCACACAGCACATTCCAATGGAGTTTCAGAGAAAACCAAGAGGATTGGAAGAAATAGACAGATGGAAGCAACCGAATTCTGCCAATTCCTATTATACACAGGCCCTGTCGTGTTGCAAGACATCCTTTCCTCCTCCCACTACAGCAACTTCTTGAGTCTTTCCATTGCCATGTACTTGATGCTCTGCCCTGCCTTGTGCTGTTACTACTGTGACTATGCAGATGACCTCATGAAACACTTCCTCAGTGAGTTTGAGAATTTGTATGGTATTGAAGAGTTGGTCTACAATGTCCATAATCTGACTCATTTGTCAGAGGATGTGAGGAGGTTTGGGTCCTTAGATAGTGTGTCAGCTTTTCCTTTTGAAAACTATCTGAGAAAGTTGAAGAAAGTCTGCCGGACACCACAATTTGTTCTCAAACAAATTAATCACCAAATTACTTGAGGACGTTTCCATCCAAAAAGACAAAAGAGAACCAAGGACAAGAAACATTCTCTGAAAAGAACACTCTAGAGGCCCAACCATTCCCTCACTCCACCCAGTTTCTGAAAGTTATATTTGAACAGTTCAGCATTGCCACTACTGGGGACAACTGTGTTATGGTTAACGGAGACCTGGGACTGGTACAGAACATCCTACGAGATAATCACACAGGGGAGGAGTACATTATTTTCAGGAAGTTCTTGACATTAGAGTCACTCTTCTCCAGTCCCCTGGATTCAAAAGACATTGGCATTTATAAAGCACGCCATCTTCAACTAAGAGACGAAGCTCACCACCTATTGGACATTACCAGAAAATATGTTTTGATCCCAATGGGCACAGATTGGGCAGCCACACCCTTGCTGCACTCTAATTTTTCTATTGTCCTACAGAGATCTACATTGTTTACTAATGGCACAGTATCACATTGTGGCGTTTCTGGATCATTCAGTTGGGATTGTTAGTCATACATAGATACAGGAGCACTCATCCATAATGTTATGGCCACCTTATACCGATCCGAACAAACGCAAGAGAGCTTTAATGACTCATGAAGTACCTGGTGAAACATGGATTTCATATGAGATGACAACTTCAGGCCCAGCAGGTAGGCATTTTATCTGAATTCTTTCTGCATGTAAGGTCACCCACAAAAATACAATAGGAACATGTAAATAGCACTAGATTCTTGACCCATATGGTGTGCTGAAAGAATAACGTCTTGAACAGCATAATGTCATATTAAGGGGTGAATAGATTTTTTGTACAGTACGTCCCACAAAGTGCGAACAGCTGCCAAATTAAATTAATTTGTCTTTTACAGTTGATTATGAAAAGGCAAGATTCAAAGCTAGAGAAGCGGAGACCAAAATGGTTTTACTAAGCGACCCAGAAGAACTTGAACGCAACAGACTTTTCCAAGTGCAAGTGACCTGTGTCCAGTTGTGTCTGTGCTTCCAGTCCCACCACCACCAATACGTTTGCCAATACCTTCACCTCCCAGTAACTCTCCATCTACCAGCAACCCTACGAACCCTGTGAGCCACTCACTTCCTTTGAGTCGCCCCCAATCTGCGAGACGCTCTCTGACTCCAAGCCATCTTCTAGCGCCGAGAGACCCGCTGCCTCCGAGCCACCCTTTGCCTGCTAGCCACTCTTTGTCTGCAGGTAAGTCTTGCAAAATTCTTTGCTAAGCCGAAATTATATAAAAATAACGCAATTGGGCTATCAGCGTCGCTGAGTACATGTGGCCAAAGTTTGTGATTAGATGCTTTCTTGTCAGGTATCGATAGGTACTTGGTCAATGCGCTTGAAGAAATGAAGGACAGACTGACAAAACTTGAGAGAATGGTGTCAGATCTCTCTCGATCAAGTATAGCAGAGGCCACTTTATCTGACGACATCAGCCTACCCTTACAAAACTATGATGAACTTGATCGCCTGGAACAAAAAATTGAGGACCACCAAAGTCGAAAAGACTTAGTAAACCTACTCAATACAGTAATTACTTTCTTACTAATAGTGTCTCTTTCCATTACACATTTTAGTTTTTATTTATTTCCCTTAATTTTAGATTACATATCTGGCGACCATTGGAGCTTGTGATGTCCAAGTGACAACAAGAAGGACAATGGCAGCACTGTTAAGTCATGCCCTGGCAAGACAGCTCAACTGGAAAGGCACGAATGACAAAATACCCTTTCACAACCTGGGGCTAAGGAAGGTTGTTGCAGGTACATCCGGGGGAATCTCAAACATTTTCACATTCTTTCGAACACCTAGACATCTGTGATTTAAATGTTTGAAACTGCAACGGTTTCAACTCCTTCTCCGACTATGGCCTGAAATGGTAATTATGTAGAATATCAATGTGTTGCCATGGGAACCTTGTCGGCTATAGTAAGCATGACACATGCTGCTTAAATGTGGGGGGTGAGTTTATCGTAGCAGAAACCACATCTTCCTACTAGACACCCGTAGCTTTCTCGTGATATATGGCGATCCTATATCTGACCCCTGACCCTTTTTCTTTGCAACTCTGCCTAGAAGGTCAGCATCCCGGAGTCCCCTCTTAACTGTTGACATTGAGACTGGTGTTTTGCGGGTACTATTTAATGAAGCTGCCAGTTGAGGACCTGTGAGGCGTCTGTTTCTCAAACTAGACACTAATGTATTTGTCCTCTTGCTCAGTTGTGCACTGGGGCCTCCCACTCCTCTTTCTATTCTGATTAGAGCCAATTTGCGCTGTTCTGTGAAGGGAGTAGTACACAGCGTTGTACGAGATCTTCAGTTTCTTGGCAATTTCTCGCATGGAATTACCTTCATTTCTCAAAACATGAATAGACTGAAGAGTTTCAGAAGAAAGTTCTTTGTTTCTGGCCATTTTGAGCCTGTAATCGAACCCACAATTGCTGATGCTCCAGATACTCAACTAGTCTCAAGAAGGCCAGTTTTATTGCTTCTTTAATCAGCACAACAGTTTTCAGCTGTGCTAACATAATTGCAAAAGGGTTTTCTAATGATCAATTAGCCTTTTAAAATGATAAACTTGGATTAGCAAACAACATGCCATTGGAACACAGGACTGATGGTTGCTGATAAATGGGCCTCTGTACGCCTATGTAGATATTCCATTAGAAATCAGACGTTTCCAGCTACAATAGCCATTTACAACATCTACACTGTATTTCTGATCAATTTTATGTTATTTTAAAAATGGACAAAAAAATTTGCTTTTCTTTTGAAAACAAGGACATTTCTAAGTGTCCCCAAACTTTTGAACGGTAGTGTATATAGTATTGTATATATCGTATGCACGTTCATATTTAAGTGCAGGAATGTTTTTCTGAAACCAAGTTTAGCACCATCTGTTGACCATGTGTTGTAAAATATTACACAAATATGATACGAAATTGAGGGACATAGATTAACTATGTTACGAACCCGATTGTGAGGTCAGGTTGGGCTATGCTATACCCTAAAAGAGACTCATCTCACTCTAACAGAGGGTATAGTTCAAGTGGGTGACTGTGTGGCGCTCACTGCAGAGTTGTCAGTGAGGTGGCCCTTCATCACTCCAACTCACCTGCACTCTAACGGACTGAGAGAGACTAATGGGAAGAGCTAACTACACACTCAGACAAGACGGGTGAAAGAGAGCAAGGGGAGCACAAGAAAATCTGAGACGTTGCTACACAGTAGAGGTCACACAGGAGAAAGACTAGCGGCGGAAACCTGGAGAGAGAACACTGGAACTACTTTGTCTCGGAGGCTGTCTGTGTACAGATACGTAACAGCCCAGTATCAGCCTAGTCCTTGAGGTTCACGTCTAAACGTTTGGTTGCTGGACGCAAGCTCAAAAATGGGGATTGTGTTTACATTTTAGCCCCACAGTCAACCTCAGCTTTTTCTGATGTGAACACAGCCTGAGAAACCGTCTGTCAGCTCTCACAGCTGCTGGACAGAGTATACATGAGAATCATACGTTCTGTATACTCTGTCCAGCAGCTGATGTGTTTGTAATTGTCTGTGGTGTGTCTCTGTATATTTAAACCAGGAAATGTTCATGTTATGTTAATGAAACGTCAATGTTGTGCATGTTGAAGTTGTAAACTCACTTTGAAAGCACACTTTCTTAATTAATATTTTATTGTACTTAAGCTAAAGACTCCATTCAAAGTCTTATATACTTAAATGGGCTCCCGAGTGGCGCAGCGGTCTAAGGCACTGCATCTCAGTGCTTGAGGCGTCACTACAGACCCCCTGGTTCAATTCCAGGCTGTATCACAACTGGCCGTGATTGGGAGTCCCATAGGGCAGCGCACAATTGGTCCAGCGTCGTCCGGGTTTGGCCGGTGTAGGCCGTCATTGTAAATAAGAATTTGTTCTTAACTGACTTGCCTTGTTAAATAAAAAAATAAAAAATACTCAATGTTATGCTTGTTATTTCTCTGAAAAACTATGTTATATTTATATTCATTTTATTATATTATATTATCCAATTGTTAGAAAATCTTTCCCTTTTAATTGTATTGTATTTACTGCATATTAACCTAAGACTCCATTCAGACCCTGAGGTACTTAACTGTTATTTAATATTGACAATAAAATCTATAGAATTTGAACATGTTATTTAATTTATGTTTATTACATTTTTGGGACTTAACATAGATATTTTATACCTGCAGAATTAACAGGTTTACTGCAGCTGTTTGGGTAGAATGTGGGTAATATTTGGGAATTCATCACTAGGCCATCAAACTTTAATTTGGACCGTAATGGACCCAATGACGGCAGGCCTAATAACATAAGGGCTTCTTGTGGGCTGGTACTGGGCTACCCACACTTACCTGGGGCTGAATAAGGGCTGACAGCAATTAGGGGCCAACTATTTGCCCATGAGCAAAAACCCACGGGCCCAGTGCATGTAGCCCAAGGCGGGCCTTTATTACAGCCCAAAGTGGACCCCTACGGTGCCAACCTGGGTGTGTTTTCTGGGTGTTTTTGTGAAAAGGAACAGGAACTTCGCATTAAATGGATACTTTGAGATTTTGGCAAGGAGGCCCTTCATCTACTTCCCCAGAGTCAGATAAACTTGTGGATACCATTTTTATATATCTGTGTCCAGTATTAAGGAAGTCGGAGGTAGTTTTGCGAGCCAATGCTAACTAGCATTAGTGCATTGCGCTAACGCTAGTTAGCAACTGCGCTATCGCTAGTTAGCAACTTCCTTCAAACTGCATGCAGAGATAAAAAAAATGGTATCCACGAGTTCATCTGACTCCAGGCAAGTAGATAAAGGGCCTCATTGCCAAACTCCCAAAGTATCCCTTTAATATGAACAGTGTATAGTAAAATATGAAAATACTACATTTAATGTCTCAAAATCGATATATAGTTTTTATTTTTAGTCATTTTAGCAGACGCTCTTATCCAGAGCGACTTACAGTTAGTGAGTGCATACATTTTTCATACTGACCAACTGTTTTATGTCCTCCGGATTTGAGAAGAAAGATGACGAGTTCAATGGTAAGCCTGTCAGGTAGCCTTAATTCTTGCACAGCATCCAGCCTTGCTGGAGTGATGCTATTTTACAGATTTCTTTACAACTTTTTTTCTCTGGCCTCCATCAACTTAGTCACCCTAATTTTGACCATGCTACAAGGGTAAAAACTCCGATACCTTTTGAACGGAGTATGATAGAGACATGAGGTTTGGACCATTCACATTCTTAGAGGATTATCTACAGAATTAACATATAATTGTACCAATTGGTCAAAATATGCATTTTTGATTGGATACCCTACACATCAATGGCACAAAATGTATGTATTGTGCATATTGTTCATCCACCATTGAGCGCATTTAGTTTGTTTGATACTGTTTACCACAATAATTATCCACTGTGAATGAATTAGCCACGACTGAACTTATCCCACTCTGTAAGAACCCTTTAAGCCCTGTATTTGAGTCAGGTTGCTACACTTGCGTTTGCTTGCTTGAAGAAAAACTAAATGGGAAACCATCTCGCCACTTTGTTTGTGTTGACAAAGCCCATTACATTTGCCTCTGGGGTACAAAGGATACAATCCTGCAATAAGTAGCTCTCCATTGTCAACGAGCATGGGAGTGGGATACGTGGCGAGATGTTTCTAGCTGCAGGGGTCATTGACAATGTGAAAATACACTCTGTCCTCTCCGAAGGGATGCACTGTGCTCCTTAATGCATTGACAACAGCAGGTCTTTCTTCTACTGAAAGAGAGAGGCTGGGGGAGACTTCAATGACAGGATTGGTCACTGATATCCCCGCTACCTTTAAGCTAATTTTGTCCAGTGTCAGCAAAACAAAGATATTAAATAATCAAGAGCAATGTATACCAGGGGATAATGTGGTCATGGTCAATCCTATTTGGGGGAGTTTGGTAGACTAGTTGGATGGAAACTTACACAAAGGGCAGGCCTCTTGGTGGGGGAGTCCTGTCTGCAGTGGCCACTGTGGATGCGGTGTCTCTGGACCAGCTCGTCTGCTGAGGGGTCTGTCCAGAAGTGGTCAGCCGTCTTCATCTTCGTGTACTCCAAGGCACAGGGCCCCACTGCCAGAGTACAGAACAATGGCATGAAAAGATGCATGTGAGGAGAATCCCTTACATCAATCGGTGCCCTGTGTAAGTCGAATCCCCTACCTACACTGATATAATGTCTGAGATGAGATGTATGTGAATAAAAGCTTAACAATGTTACCTAACAAAGAGGCCAGAATGGGTCCGTCCACCGGATCCATCAGAATGGCCTTTTTTTCGTAGAATTTACTGGAACATAAAGATGTGATGGAGGTGAGCCATGAATTTCTGCATTTTCTTTTCCTCCTCCTTGCAGGTGACCACGCCCCCCCCCCCCCCGACTCACCTGCTGTTCTCCACGAGGTAGAGCACGATCTTGTCCAGCACCTTCTCGATGAGGGCCGTGCGGAGCCACAGGTTTCTGACCACCTGCGGGTTGAGGCTGGGCAGCCTGGGCAGTCTCCGTACGCTGTCCTGGTTGGGAAAGCTTTGGTTCCGTCTGCCATGTAGAAACAGGGGAGAGGGAGGGAGGAACCCAGCAGTTTCCTTTGGTTAACCATGGCAATTTGCTACCAGTGATCATGTATTACAGTATGTTACACATTTATTGCATCAGTAAACTATAAATATGTGTGACAGATCATGACAAGCACTTCTTAGCAGTACTATACAGTAACAGCTCTTTGATTTTGAGTGCTATGGTCTGTGTCTGTACAGGGATCCGGTGGTGTATGTGTGTGTGTGGATATGAAGGTGTGCGTGCTCTCACTTGCTCTCGATGATCTGCTCCAGCTCCTGAGCCTTCCTGCACAGCTCCTCTGCCGGGGCGAAGCTCTTCCCCACCTTCATGAAGAGCGCTGCTATCTTATTGCTACGCAGGAATCCCGCTGCTCGCCGCTTAAGCCCATGTAGAACGCACGCCTCCACCGCAGCTGTGTTCACACACACACAAATAATAGTAATTTCTAAAGATTGATGGGAAACATCATAGGGGACTTCACTAAACGTTGTCACCATTATAAATACTATGTTCTGCATTTTCATCTACATTTATTAACTTGTCGACAAGTTAATAGGATATTACAATAAATATCCTATTAACTTGTCGACAAGTGACATTGAATTGTGTTTGGTTGTAGACAAACTGAAATTAAAGCAGGACTAAGTCAGTGGCACAGATGGAATTATCCAAGCAGAAGATAAAGCTCCTTCAAATGTTGATATTTGGTTGTGTTGACAACCAAACACAATTCAATATCACTAAATATCATTACATTTGAAATCAGGGGTTGAAACCCTAGGCCCAATGTTCCCTCTATTTTTTTGTTGTTGCACTGAGCAAATTTCAGGTCTGCTGAGCGCAAACTTGATCGTTGTGGAAATTCTGTGCAGCTTCCAGCGCGCGTTTACTGTGAACACTGAGGCTGTACCGCTTTAAGTTACAGTTTTAACAGTGTCCATGTAGGGTACTGTGGCTATTTGATCATAATGTAGGCCTACCAGAGTGGCCTACCATCAAAAACAATGGAGAAAATGCATCCCATAACATTTTAACATGGAAATAGCTGTTCTATCATTCAGCCTACAGTAGCAGCCAATGTGTGGTGTTCAATGTAGGCCTACATTCCATGAGACTTTTGGGAAAAAAACATGCAGGGCTTGACATTAACCTGTTTATCTACTTGTCCTTCAGACAAGGAGGTGACTGAAAATGTTGTTTTGTTGTTTGATGCAAGAAATCACTTTACAAAATAAAATGCATTATTATTCCCATACCACTATTACAGAGAATCAGACAAATTATGCTACCCTCTGCCTATTCGCTACTTAGCTTATTCAAGCATGTCTCAAAATACAACACTGCCCCTTTAAGACAAAAAAAAGCTCTTTACCTGACTCGCTTTTCAAATATGTATACATTTTTTACACTTGTAGTTAACAATCACTCCCCTATTGCTAACTACAAATGATCTATATCTGGGCTAATAACTCTAACTAGCAAAGGATATTAACAAAATGTGCACACGTGGCTACATGCAGCTCTCACTTTGATCTACTCGTGACTGCTCATGCTGTAAACACAGTTCAGTTCAAAGTAAATGGCACAGATCCATATATGGCAATATATGCATATAGGCCACTGCAGCTCTGATAGTTTATGCCACACCGGTCTGTGTAGAGTACGGGCTGAGTAGTGCATGTCAATGCAATAGAATCCTACTCTGATGCGTTCTGCCAACAACAACAAAATAATAATAATAATAATAATAATAATAATAAGCCATTTAGCAGACGCTTTTATCCAAAGCGACTTACAGTCATGTGTGCATACATTTTTACGTATGGGTGTTCCTGGGGATCGAACCCACTACCCTGGCGTTACAAGCGCCATGCTCTACGAATTGAGCTAAAGAGGACCACAAAATCTTTGCGTAGTTCGTTTTGTTTCGGTATGTTGCATTGAAAGTGGTTAATATTGTGTTGATTCGATGACAATTGCCACAGTAGAGGGAAACGTTGATAGGGAAAACTCTAGAACAGTGGTCACCAAGATCACTGAGTCAAAATATAATTGCAAGCCGAGATCTACCGCTCAGATTATTTTTATTTTTTACATGACTTAAAAAACGTAAGCCTGTGCAACATTAACCAATTAAAAACAGTCCTGTAGCAATGAGGTTTGCAGTAAGCTATAGGCCCCAATACATTATCACCGCATATTGGCTTTGCTTGAATTGCCCTGCCAATGCATTGTTGTTCGGGCCATTTTTTAGGTAGGCTATATGCTCACACCGTTAATAGATCTGTTGTTGTATTACTTGTGAAGCACAGCTGAGTGAGCATACATTTAAATAATTTATTTTACTGGGCTGATGGTGCCTGCATCTGATGGTCAGTCATAGCGGAGGGAGAGAGCAGCAGACTGAGGGGCCGCCTCTCAACATCCCTCCGCTCTCCCTTTCCTCCACTGACACTGTCCAAAAAGGGACATCGTCTTCCAGCTGATGGCGAAACTCGAGTTGCACCGTATTATTTCTGCCTCATGCTCAAATTAATGTTGTTACTCCTATGAACAGAGAAAGTGAAATATTCCTTGATATTAAAAAAGACCCAAGCCGCTAATAATAACAACAATGCAAGCCTATAGATACACTTTCCTACTCATTCATTATTACTGCAGTGCTTGTTGTAGCGCTGTGTGGAAATAGGACAAAAGCGCATTTTATGGCTTATAAAAGTGTTGAATACAAAGTGTTGACAGTGCTGAGTAAGAACTTAAACATGAACTTACTCATATTCGTTGACAGTCTCTCTCTAGTCATGGTTTTAAATGTTTTGAAATCTCACAGTATTAACTTTGCTGTAGCTTTATTTTATGCCTACTATGTTACTGCAGACACGGACATCTGAGCCATCCGATTGGCCAGCGGTAGGCCTATAGTGCATTTGATTTGCTGTCTGGGCCCGCCGGGAAGGCAGGTTTTGTACCTTCAGACACATGAAATGGTTAAAAATGGCAACAGTTCGCCTACCTGGCGCGCAGGGCAGCTGAACCGCCAACAGCCCGAGACGAAAAATAAATAAAATAGGAACACAAGGCTTTATCGTTGGTTTTTTTACAGAAATGTTTGGTGATCGACTAGGAATGCCTTGGAGATCAACCAGTCGGTGAGCACTGCTATAGAAAGTTGAGTGAAGTTCAATCTCTCTGTGGGCTGATATTTCTGCGTGAGGGAACATTGCCTAGGCCTATTGTATTGTCTGTTTTTTGTTGAATTCAAAACAAACAATAACTGTTGATGACTTTGCAAATACTATATAGGCCTAAATAGCATCATTGATGTTATGAGTGATAATGTATTGTCACATTTAATTTGCTCTGTTAAACCTACCCTTTGGAATGACATCGATAGCAACAGTGAATTTATTTCGTTTTTAAGTTGAGATCTCTCAACAATAATTCTCACGATAGCACATTGGTAATAGTCAGTGACAAATGGCATAGCTAAACTGGGCGTGGTTAAAACCCTGGATGGGAGACCAAAAAGTTGCTGTAGATAGGTCAATTCTCCAGTAGGAGGTGCTGCCCAAATGTATTTTTCTGATAGTGGATTTAACGTTGAAGATCTGATGTTGTTTTAAAAGGTACAAATTCAGTCTATGTAGAATTTTGGTTACCATTATGACAATCCTGTGGTTGAAATTTCACCCTCAAAACAAGTTTACATTGATGACGTTTTTCAAATCCAAATGTATTTTCCATGTAGATTCCACTTCACTATACAAATTACGTTGAAACGGCATTGATTCAATCAGTTTGTGCCCAGTGGGTAGCTTCTGTCTAATTATGACTGAGCCGCATGATAGACACTAAAGACAAAGCTCTGCGGTTTGAGGCTCTTGAGTGGCTCAAATAAGCCAATAATCTTTATCAGGTTATCCATAAACATAGCTATTTTTGCCTAAGTCGTGAGCTTTGCAGTAAATACAAGTGCCCACACACACACACACACACACACACACACACACACACACACACACACACACACACACACACACACACACACACACACAAAGCAGTGTTCAGAGTAACAAAGTTGTAAAAACAATGACACATCCATACAGTACAGAGCCACATATCTTCCTATAAGGCCTATGTGGCATGTCTTGAGCAGTGTTGACATTTGAGCTCTCTCTCAGGACTAATCATGTTGCTCTGCTCAAATGGTGAAAGCCGTGGTCGTCATGGAAACCCCTGCTGATGGAGAGCTTCAGCACTAGAGTGAGAGAGCAGTGGAGGGAAGTAGCTCTTGCAAAAAAAAAGGCTGGGAAGGACATTATATTTTAATTGCTATCTGGTTGAAGCCACATCAAATAACCAGATTACAACAGGATAAAAGCATATTTTTTAGGACTACAAAAATACATGTTAAAGGCCCAGTGCAGTCAAAAACGTGATTTTCCTGTGTTTTATATATATTTCCACACTGAGGTTGGAATAATACTGTGAAATTGTGAAAATTATGATAATGCCCTTTTAGTCCATGGTGACATCGTCATGCGGTAAATTAGTTAACAGACCATAAGGTTGACCCCATTTAGTCCACTGGTCGATTGTTTGGTCGAAAAAGCTGTTGGTCGACCAAGATTGTTTTAGTTGAGCAGTGGCAAATATATGTAAAAACAATTATGGCACACGAGACACCTGTTTGATTGACGCCTGTCTGAGTGGACTAATCCATTGCGGAGGCCGCGGGGATGGCACACCAGTATCACTAGTACATTTACTGTAAATTACCATAATTTGTAATCTACAATGTTTGCTTGGTTACGGTAATTTCTGTTAATGCATTCAATATATTATTATTACAGTCTTACCGTTGTCATTGTAGGAGTGGACACGTTGTTTGCAGAGTGTACAACCTAGGCTACACTTGTGAGGAAAAGGTTTTGGTTTATTTCATTATTTTCATATTTCATAGTCTTTTGTTTGGAGCGCTCCTGTCAATCTTGAGTAAGGACACGCACCTGATTACGCATAGAAGTAGGCCTAGGCTACCTCGCCTGCGCGCAAATGTAGACTTATAAATGTGCCTTACCTCACCATCACTGTCGACCTTCAAAGTCATTTTTTCTTCGCCTCAAGAAGCAAGTCAACAAAAGTCTGTTTTCACATCCATTGAGAATGACAATAGTTCCTCAACATAGCCTATTTGAAAAATCTTTCCAGCTCTCTCCCTTTCGATAACCACTCAGCATGAAAGGAGAAAAAATATCATGCTCTGATCAGGTGGACATGTCATTAAAAAAAGGCCTACCTGATTACTTCTTATCCCTTGCGCAAATAGCCTACAGCTGTGTCTGTCTGTCCAGAGCTCACTGGCTCCAGGAAACTCTGAGGGCCCAGAATATTTTATAAAATGTTGCAAGTTTGCTAGTGCTAGCTTCAGGCCGGACCAAAGTTAATAGTTGATACAATGTTTCAAGTTACTTGCAGACAGGCCATGCATAGCCAA